CCAAATACTTATAACCAACTGATTTTTGACAAATCAAACAAAAACATAAAGTGGGGAAATGACACGCTATCCAACAAACAGTGCTGGGATAACTGGCTAGCCACATGTAGAAAATGAGACTGGATCCTCATCTCTCACCTTATACAAAAATCAACTCAAGACGGGTCAAGGACTTAAATCTAAGACCTAAAACTATAAAAATTCTAGAAGATAACATCGGAAAAACCCTTCTAGACATTGGCTTAGGCAAAGATTTCATGACCAAGAACCAAAAAGCAAATGCAATAAAAATGAAGATAAATTGCTGGGACTTAATTAAACTAAAGAGTGTCTGCGCGGTAAAAGGAACAGTCAGCAGAGTAAACAGACAACCCACAGAGTGGGAGAAAATCTCCACAATCTATACGTCTGACAAAAGATTAATATCCAGAATCTATAATGGACTCAAACAAATTAGCAAGAAAAAAAATGAACAATCCCATCAAGAAGTGGGCTAACGACACGAATAGACAATTCTCAAAAGAAGATACACAAATGGCAAACAAACATATGAAAAAATGCTTAACATCACTAATGACCAGGGAAATACAAATCAAAACCACAATGTGATACCACCTTACTCCCTTGAGAATGGCCATAATCAAAAAATCAAAAAATAACAGATGTTGGCATGGATGTGGCGAAAAGAGAACACTTCTACACTGCTGGTGGGAATGTAAACTAGTACACTCTCTATGGAAAACAGTGTGGACATTCCTTAAAGAACTAAAAGTAGAACTGCCATTTGATCCAGCAATCCCACTACTGGTATCTACGCAAAGGAAAGTAAGTCATTATTCAAAAAGCTACTTGCACACCTATGTTTATAGCAGCACAATTCACAGCTGCAAAAATGTGGAAGCAACCCAGGTGCCCATCAATCAACAAGTGGATAAAGGAACTATGGCGTATATACATACATGATGGAATACACTCAGCCATAAGAAGGAATGAATTAATGGCATACACGGCAACCTGCATGGGATTGGAGACTATTATGCTAAGTGAAGTAACTCAGGAGCAGAAAACCAAACATCGTATGTTTTCACGCATAAGTGGCAGCTAAGCTATGAGGACACAAAAGCATAAGAATGATACAGTGGACTTTGGGGACTTGGGGGAAAGGGTGGGAAGAGGGTGAGGGATAACAGACTACAAATTGGGCTGGGCGCGGTGGCTCACGCCTGTAATCTCAGCACTTTCGGAGGCCAAGGCAGGTGGATCATGAGGTCAAGAGATTGCAACCACCCTGGCCAACATGGTGAAACCCCATCTCCACTAAAAATACAAAAAAAATTAGCAGGGCGTGGTGGCGTGTACCTGTAGTTCCAGCTACTTGGGAGGCTAAGGCAGAAGAATCGCTTGAACCCAGGAGACGGAGGTTTCAGTGAGCTGAGATTGCGCCACTGCACTCCAGCCTGGTGACAGAGAGAGACTCTGTCTCAAAAAAAAAAAAAAAAAAGACTACAAATCTTTACTGCTTGGGTGATGGATACACCAAAATCTCACCAATCACCACTAAAGAACTTACTCACGTAACGACAAAAAAAAACTTGATAAAACTGAAAAATATTAGCAACGCTTTTAAAGAACGTCCTTTAACTTGAAAATTTCGAAGCTATTTTTTAAAAATTGCCATAAAAAGGGAAATACACATACAAATTACAGAAGTACTAAAATACTGGTAAATAAAGCAATGCATTTCAGATTATTTAATGCATTGAAATTGGTGAACAGAAGAAAACCCAAACTCTGAAATATTTTTACCAACCAGAAGTAAAGAATGAACACAAGTATATTTACTTGGCACCATAAAGACTGGTATAAGCAACACAGAGAATAAAAAAAAGCATAAAGAAAAATTTTTAAATGTAAAAATTAATAAGGTGAAGAACAGAAAAATAATACATCTAAATAGTAAATCAAAATACTTTTAAAAGAATAACATACTACAAAGACAAATATATCGTGTATCTGGACAGCCCCAGATAGTATAATCAAGAAAAAAGGCAGAAAGCACCATATACAAAATAGTAAAATGTTTAAAAAAGGGAAAATTATTAAAAGGGAAAAGCCATAAAAAATAAACTACTTTTCAGACCTCTATAGGAATGAATTTATATTCTTTAATTTTTAAAATTAATTAATTTCTTTATTTATTTTGAAATGGAGTTTCATTCTTGTCACCCAGGCTGGAGCACAATGGCATGATCTTGGCTCACTGCAACCTCGCCTCCCAGGTTCAAGCGATTCTCCTGCCTCAGCCTCCCGAGTAGCTGGGATTACAGGTGCGCACTACCATGCCTGGCTAATTTTGTATATATTTTGTTTTTATTAGAGACGGTTTTCACCATGTTGGTCAGGCTGGTCTTAAACTCTTGACCTCAGGTGATCTACCCACCTTGATCTCCCAGTGTGCTGGAATTACAGGCGTGAGCCACTGCGCCTGGCCCTGAATTTATCTTGTTACTAGTGAAAAGATAATTTACTAGGAAAATTAAGTTTAATGAAATTGATTCCACTGGGTTTATGTAGTTTAGTGTATCCAATTCTGTAGAAACAAAACAGAAACGTATCGAGAAAATGTGCCACAGAAGTCCCTGGTTAAGGCGGATTCACAGAAAAAGTCTAGTAAAACTTCAAAAATCTAATAGTCCCAATATTCCAAAAAAAGAAAAATTCTTCCAGAGCACTGAAATGAAGGAAAACACCCCAGTTCTATGAAGAAGTGTGACCTTGACACCTAAATCTGATAAAGATGGGAAGAAAAGGAATGCACAGACTGGCCACCTGCGAACGTTGACACAAACCTTCTAGCTGTATTATCGGTGCATGAGGAATGTAATTCCACACAAAGAAAGACAACATGGCCAGTGATCTATTCCAGTTTCAATATTAGGAAATCATTAATATGTTTTATCGAATTAAGATATCTAAGGAAAAAAATCATTTGATTACTTGCATAAATGCTGAAAAAACCTTTGATGAACGTTAACACCCATTTCTCATAAAACGTTCTGGATGATAATTATGAACAGACACTTTCTTGACGTGATTCCGTAAATACACACGTGCACACGATCAGTGTCTTTATTGAGGCGTACATGGTATCTACATGCGTGACATTCACATGTATACCCTCTAAGTGCCTCAGCCCTAAAGACAGTGTCTCACCAAATGGGCAAGAAGAAAGAGTTCAGTGGAACCGGATATGATGAGACCATGCTTTCACATACACAAATAATCAAGGACTTAAACGTAAGACCTGAAGCTATAAAAATTCTAGAAGATAACATCAGAAAAAACATTCTAGACATTGGCTTAGGCAAAGATTTCATCACCAAGAACCCAAAAGCAAATGCAATAAAAACAAAGATAAATAGCTGGGACTTAAACTAAATAATAACCAGTAAGAAGATAGAACGATAACACAGTTTACAACACCAGGATGGGAGATACAATTGTTTAGGGCTGAATTTAACAGAAAATGCACCAAAGGAGTGTGAAAAGAATCTTCTCCAGGAAGGATGAGCTTAGAGCAGGACGCGCCTGGAACCCGTTGGGTAAAATGTAAGAAAGTGCTCAGAGGAGGATGGGGCCTGGCAGGAGGACACGGCTGAAACCTGCCTCGCCTGGGACAGCTGCGGCCCTAGATGACGTCAGGACAGGAGAGAGGACAAGTTATGAAGAGGGGGAGAGACCCCGACAGTCGGAATGTCGACTGAGAAATGTGCATACGAGGAACAGTGTTACTGAAACAAAATAAAACACCACCACCACCACCACCACCATCTGAACAACAATCAATAATAATTGATTCAGGCAAGATTAATTAATGGATGCTGAAATAGGTGGGCTGAATCTGAGGCATAAGAGAGTAAGAACATGGTTTCCTACATCCCTGCACAAAACACTATTGATCACAAATGTAAAAATGATCATTCATACTGGGGAATCCGGCAGATGTCACCCAAACCAACCTGTCAAATTAACATCAACAGTAATGGAGCATTATGGGAATAATTAGAGAAATGTAAATACAAATTATGGGTTACAAAATAGCACTGGATCAATATGAATTTCCTGATTTTGATTTTTTGGACTCTGGTTATGTAAGAAAACAGCTTTGCTTTTGAGAAATACAGGGCGAAATATCTGAGGTTAAAGGAGCATCATGTCTGCAACGGACTCTGCAATGATTCAGGACCCAGATACTTATGTGTGTCTATATTGAAATAGAGTGAGAGAGAGACGGACGTTGAGAGGCAGATGGGAGGCAGAGGAGACTGAACACACTTGGAATTACAAGATGGAATTAGAACCCTTGGAGATCTGGATCAGGGATGCTCTCTGGTGCTTTCTTCTAGAATTGTTATTCTTTTGCCTTTCATATTTGATCTGAAATCCAACTGGAATTGATCTTTATGTGCTGTGAAGTAAATATAAAAGTTTACTCCTTGCACGTGGATATCTACTTGACCCGGCTCCATTTATTAAAAAGACCAAACTTTCCACACTCCCTGGTTCTGCCCACAGGACTGTGCACCTGTGTCTGGACGCTACTTGGTCATTTGATTGTTTCTTCGCACCGACGCCTCCACACACACCACACACCTCTGTGTCATTTTACAAATTTTTGATCTTTTATTTTGACCAGTGTCAGACTGGCAGACACACTGCGCGACAGTGGAGAATCCCCGTGCACGCCAGTCCTTCCCTCGCACGCTGTGGGTTGCTGGGTTGAGGCTGTCCCTGGCGTGCACGAGCCCTGTGGGCATCCCTGGCCGTGTCTGCCACAGTCCGTCCCTCACGCTGCCCGGGCGCGCTTGTGGCCAGGTTGCATCTACTCTGCCCTGTGGCTGACTTCAGCGTCACAGCCGAGCGATCCTTACTTGCTAACCCACGGCTCCCGTGTCAGCCCTGGAGTCTTCAGCAGATTCACCAGCTCCCTCCTTTGCTACCGATCCCGACACCCAGCAGGGTCCCAGGGAGCGTGCACCGTGGGACCCTGCATGAGGGCAGCTTCCCAGTGACCATCGGTCCCAAGGCCGCGTGGGCAGCAGCTCCCGTGCACTGAGGACTGTGGGCTGACGAGCGGCCCCTGCCCATCCCACGCAGGCTGCAGCCTCCATGGCCAGAAGCCACCTGCAGGCAGAGCTCCTGAGGTCAGTCAAAACCGGACACAGATCAGGGCCCCAGAGGCCGAATCCTGCCTCTCCGGGTGGGTGGGGTCCACGCTGCCAAAACATTCACTTCGCCCTGACCTCTGTGTCCAGGGAACATGGGCGGTGCAGCCCCGGGTGTCCGAGGACTGAGGCTGGCCTGTCCTCTGCAGACGGGGCTCCTGGTCTCGCAGCTTCAGCCTTGGCTCCACGAGGAGACCACAGCCCCCGCAGGCCCCGCAGGCCCCGAAGGCCTCCCCAACAGGTTACTTCCAGACTCGCACCTTCCTGGGCACTGACCAGCAGCTGCCCACCTGCCGGCGGTTCCCGCTCGTCCTTGCCGAAGGGACACGTGTGGTGTCTAGGGAAACGTGTCCTTCCACACCTGCTTCAGGACCGGGGTCCGGCTGTGCGCACTGCCCTGCCCTTGGGGGGCGGGGTGGGGGGCACGTTCCTTCATTCCACTCCGGAGGTGCCCCTGGACCCGCAGCGCCTGCTCCTTCCTCTGCACCACGCAAGGCTGACCCCAGGCTCCTCCTCCACCAGCGGCCCCAGCAAGCCTCCCACAGGCCGGGCGTGAGCCCTGGGGAGCATCTCTGGGGTGGACATGGCTGTGGCCGACAGGGCTCTCCCTCTCCCGCACCAGGACTTGTCCAGGCCCTTGGGCCACCTTTGCGTCCATCCTGAGTCCCCAGCTCCTTCAGCAATGGGTCGCTGCTGTGCTCACCCAAATCCACGAGTTGGTGGGCCCACAAAAGCCCTGCCCGCAATGGGCAGGGGCAGGTGCCCAGGTAATTGACGCCCTGTGGCTGCCTCCAGAGTTCTTCCCACTGGCGTTCTCGTCGGGCTAGCGTGGCCTCTTCCCTGAGCTGCCGGGACAGTGCTCTGAGGGTGGCCTCACAGACGGAGCGGGTCAGCACGGCTGGGGCGAGACGCAGAGGGATTTCAAGGGCCCTTCCCTACTGATGTTGAGAATAACGTTTTGCTGAATCAAGAGCCGGTTTTAGTAAAGGCACCGCACCTATCGCACCGCTCTGATGAGGCCTCTTAATTTAATCCTCGGGATCCCCCATCTTCCACTATCATTGGTTTTGATTTTTCAGGCGCCCTATCAGTGATTTCAGGGGGAAAGGATTGAGACCACCGACTGCCATTCTTCAGGTCTGCAAGGGTGGCGGGGGTCTCCTCACTGCTCCTGGGAGATGCTGCTCTGCGTTTAGTTTCTGGGGTGGGGAGGGGCTGTTTCAGGAGCTTCCATGTGGGTCTTCTCACCGTGAGGTTTCTACTGCCCAGGTCAAGAGGCCTTGGGAGGCTCTTCTGGCAGGTGCACGCTCCTTCCAGAGATTCTCAGGGACAAGAGAAAATACGGAAAGGAACGGAGAGGGGACTAAGTCCACTCACTGCCTGGCTGCAGACGCCCACCCTCAGCGGGCCCAGGTGGTGTTTCCAATCCCAGTCTCGGCATCACATGGACCCTATAAGACCCAGCGAGTGTAGGGCACTGGCTGGGGCTCTCGGCTTCCCTGGTTGGGGTGGGGGTGTCTCACGCCTACTGGGCATCAAAAGGGCCTTCCTGTGTCACTGGATCCTGCGTCCAAGACTGGACAAGGGCTCAGGGCCCTCCACTGCAACCTCCAGGTCCTCAGGCTGACCCTTTCTGCCTGCAGGTCCAGCAGGACGGTCATGGGCTGCCCTTTTTCCTTATCTCCTCTGGGTCCACCAACCGTCCTGCGGCCCCTCTGACCCTGGCCTGGCCACCACCCTGGCCGGGCCCCCTGGGAGAGGGTGCGTCCACCTGGTTCCTAGGCTACAGGATTCCAGAATCTAAATTGCTCCTGCGGCATTTAGCCCTGCAGCTGCATCCCTGGCCACCAGCCTGGCCTTCCCAGCAGGCCAGGGCCGCCCTGACTGGTGCCCTCTGCCCGTCCTGGGGACCACGGTCAGGAGGTGGGTCCTTGGGAAGTCGCCTGATTCCAGCGTGTGTTCTGGTCTGGGTCTCCCATCCCTTCCCAGTCTCAGGGACTTGGCTCCAGCACGGCATTCTCCACAGTAGATCAGCACCGTTTTCTGTAAAGGGCCGGATGGTAAGAATTTCAGGCTTTCAGGCCACAGGGTCCCTGTCTTGACTCAACCCAGCCGTGGGACTGAGAGCAGCCGTGGTAAAACGTGAAGGAAGAACGTTGCTGAGTGCCAGGAGAACTTTGGAAGATCAGGCTGCAGGCAGGACTTGGTTCACAGGCCAGAGTTTGCTAACCTCTGCCTGGGGCCTTCACTGCTGCCATCTCTGACACGTGCATTTCCGCAGATCTTTCAAATTCTTTCAGAATATTCTTAAACCGATGTGGTCCAGCTTTTGTTCATGCCAGGTGAGCAAATGAAAACCTTGCAGTTACAACTGTGAGATCATTTCTGAATGAACTGATTCCTAAGCTTGTAGACATTCTGTAGCCAAATAAATCATATTGACCGAATTGTATGTTTTTTTAAGTGATTTTGGTGTTCATAGCCCATATTAAAAGTGCAATAAAAATACAGTATCTGAAGTATTTGAGCTATATGAAATATTTTTTATTGGTGATAAACATTAAAATATGAATCTAGAGATTTGAAAACATTCTCACTTTATAAATATTGCCTTGTACGTAAAAACATAAAATCAATGGGGATTCCAATATTATCCTCAAATATAATAAGCTTTCTGATTTCACATATTGTCTACACACATGAGGCAATTCCCTTGTTTAGCCGTTTTGAAGACCATTTTTAAGCCCTTGATGCTCTGCATTTCCAGAGTGTGGGCCACACTGAGAGATGCTTTTCATGTAAACATCCGTAAGTCGGACCAGCGGCTTCATCAGATCACATGGGACGACTCCCATGGGTCCAGCAGTATTTACGCAGGACTTCTCAGAGCCTTTGCTGTGAAAGCACACACTACGCCTTTCAGAGGTGACACCAAGGACGTGTCACCCCAACACCCAGGTGATCGTGGACACTGAGGACGTGTCACCCCTGGGCACACTGAGAGATGCTTTTCATGTAAACATCCGTAAGTCGGTGATCAGCTAAGCCACTGTGATCACATGGACGACCCCCATGGGTCCAGCAGTATTTATGTGAGATCACCTCTCAGAGCCTTTGCTGTAAAGCACACTACGCCTTCAGAGGTATACCAAGACGTAAAGTCATACCCAACACCCAGGTGATCGTGGACACTGAGACGTGTCACCCCCAACACCTGGGTGATCGGGTGGGACTGAGGACGCCCCAACACCCGGGCGTGATCGTGACACCGAGGATGGTCACTAACACCCGGGTGATCGTGGACACTGAGGATTTGTCAGCCCCCCAACACTCCGGGTGGATCGTGGACACTGAGGATGCAAGTCACCCTGCAACACCTGGGTGATCACCACTGAGGACGTCACTCCCCAACACCTGGTGATCGTGACACTGAGGACGCGGTCACCCCAACACCTCGGGTGATCGCGGCACTGAGGACGTGTCACCCCAACACCTGGGTGATCGTGGACACTGAGGGGATGTGTCACCCCAACACTCTGGGTGATCGCGGGACACTGAGGACGTTGAGCCACCCCCAACACCTGGGTGATCGGGTGGGACACTGAGGACGGTCACCCCCAACACCCGGGTGATTGTGGGACTTGAGACGTGTCACCCCAACACCCAGGTGATCGTGGGATGTCGGAGGGATGCAGCCGCCCCTAACACCCGGGTGTGATCGGGAGTCACCGAGGATCGCATGTCAGCCCCAACACCCGGGCATCGTGACACCGAGGACGTGTCACCCCAACACCTGGGTGATCGTGGACCCGGAGGATGCAAGTTTACCCCCAACACCTGGGTGGGTGATCGTGGACACTGGGAGGTCGTGTCACCTCAACACCTGGGTGATCGTGGACACTCGAGAGGGACGTGTCACCTCTAACACCTGTGTGATCGTGACACTGAGGACGTTGTCACCCCAACACCTGGGTGATCGTGGACCCTGAGGAGACGTCACCCCCAACACCTGGGTGATCGTGGACACTGAGGTGACGTGTCACCCCAACACCCGTGTGATCTGGACACTGAGGACGCGAGTCACCAACACCCGGTGATCGTGGACACTGAGGACGGTCACCCCCAACACCCGGGTGATCGGATACTGAGGACGCGTGTCACCTCAACACCTGGGTGATCGTGGACACTGGAGGACGTGTGTCACCCCAACACCTGGGTGATTGTGGACACCAAGGACGTGTCACCCCCAACACCTGGGTGATCGTGGACACGAGGACGGTCACCCCAACACCCGGTGATCGCGGACCTGCTGGTAGCTGGAGAGAGGTTGGAGGCCACACTTTGGAAATTGGTTTAAACATGCCTGTCCACATGAGATTACTTAAAATGGACTAAATTAGGTTGAATTTAAACCTTTAATCCTTTAATGAGGTTATTTTATTGAAGAAAATAAAATGCACGATTTGTGATAAATTTTTCTACAACGAAACAATTGAAGTGCTGATTTAATGAAATGATGCGTGAGGGAGGGTTTTCTCCACAATCATTGGGACGGGTGACGAGGTGGGCACAGCTCCACGCTGCGCTGGGCTGCCATGGCAACAGCTTTTGGAGGTTGGGCGATGGGCATGTGTGGGGGCGTCTTGGGCTTAGTACCTGCCGTCTCTACTTTTTATGATTTGACTCTGTTCATAATGAAAGTGTTCAAAAATGATAAACAACAAAACCAAGATACAGAAAGGAAACCAGTAATTCATTGACCATAATTTTTAGGCTTCTGGTCACTTGTATTCATCAGCTTAATATAATACTCTCTTAACTTGTGAGGACGTGCTAAGGAACTGAAGCATCTGTCCTACGCCTTCTAAGCAATAACAAAGTACTGCCCGGCAGAGGAAATCACATGCACCACCATTTCATTCCGGTCGGCATCACAGTTACAGCCGCATTGAGTGATCACAGGCAGTCCCTCTGAATTCACAGCAGGCACAGCTGGTGGCGCCGGGAAAAGTCCTCCCCAGTGTGGGGTCTCAAGCAGGTTTCTTCCAGCCCACCAGCCTGGTGTTCCATCTGAAACACAAACCGGAGAAAGGTGACAGCTGCCTGGCCTACTGCCCACCACCCCCAGGGACCCCTCGTCTCCCAGCCTATTAAGAAACCTACAAAAGAGCAAAAAGAGAAACTCTGCTTTAAAATGGTTTTATTCTAACAATCGTAATACAGTGAATATTGTTTGTAAGAATTATAACTGATCTATCTGATTACACTGTATTTCTAACCCATCACTGACCATGTTTTATTAGAAAGTACTACCTAACCTCTTTCAATGTGTAAAGCATAATTTGGAACAGCAAAAGTTGTAGAAACTTCGTCAGGAACTGCATTAAGAAGTGAGTTGCCAACAATAAAAAAATGAACAAAATCGAAAAGGGATTTGGAAGCTAAAGTTAACCTCTGGAGATCCCGAAAGGCCTAAGGCAATAGAAACAGAACGAAGGCAGCACGTTCTCTCTCGAGCCTCTCAGTCAGCCCCATGGTTATTACCAAGCAGCCCTGGCTGTAGTGTCCACCCCAGCATCCTGTGACTCCCAGGTGCACCTTGCCGTGGTCGGGGGTTGTCAGCTGAGTTGCGCTTCCTGTTCTGAGAAGGCGCCTGTTCACCTGCAGAGAAGGGAGGGGCAAAACCCTCCACCCGCCTGACACAAACACCGTGTGGTTAAAAACCAGCAACCCCAGTGCCCTGTCAGGGATAAACAGAGCCATGCTCCCTGCCTGGGATCCCACGTCGAGCCGGACCCTCTCCGGAATGCTGCACGAGAGAGAGACCCGGGATCCACGCCGGAGCCGCCGACCTCCTGGGAATGCTGCAGGAATGAGAGGGACCCGATCCCACGCCGAGCCGGGACTCCTCTCCGAATGCGGTAGGTGAATGAGAGGGACCGGGATCCCACGCCGAGCCGGACCTCTCCGAATGCTGCAGAATGAGAGGGACCCGATCCCACGCTGACTGGACTCCTTCTCCGGAATGCTGCAGAATGAGAGACTCCAGGCAACGCCTGCAGCACTAGGGAGAAGACGCTTGAGAAGGGAGAGGTGGAGTCCAGCATGTTTCACCTCGGAAGAGGCCCCCGGGCCCTGGAGAGGGTAGAGGCAGCTGCTTCCGGAGGCGCTGGCCATTTTCAGAGTGAAACCAAGGGTCCCAGCTTGAGACCCGGAGCACGCCAGTTCCCGGTGCCTGACTCACCAACGAAAGCAGCCTTGGCTCACAAGCCGCCTCCCGGCGATGCCTCCCAGAGGTGTTGATGAGTTGGGAGCATCACCCATGAAGAGACAAAGCTCTACCACTGGGAGGCAGGAGTTTCAAAACACGCCAATAGCATATTTTTGATAATAACAATTTAAAACTTTAATTATCACATTATGCTTCTAAAAACTGTAGGAGTGACACTGGCTGTATTCCAACTTATAACTGTATTTTTACCATCTAAATTACTCATCTAATAACACTGGAATTATAAAATGGCTACAGTGGTAATGTAAAGGGCCTCTCAGTTGCATTTGTGAGTTTTTACACTCCAGAGATTTGAAAGGTTGAAGAAATAATTATTAGAACAAAGACAGGCAGAAAAGAAAAATAAAGAGAAATAGGAAATCAGTTCACTGAACTGGAAACGCAATTTACAGGCTCCTAATTCCAGTCCCGGCCGGGACTCGCCCAACCTCAGGGCTCGCCTGCTGCACCTGGGCAAGGCTTCCTGCAGGGCTGGCCCCGGCCTGTGGAATGCATTTCTTGTATTCTCTGCACTCTCCCAGGACCCATCACGGGGACCTGCCGGAGCCCCCACTGCCTCCTTCGCCTCGTGACCTGCACACCCCGACCTGCAGCCCCACCTGGACCCCACTTCCCAAGTCCCCTTTCTTACCGCCCTGTCTCCACGGGGACCAGCCTGTGGGCACCCTGGATGCTGGACCCCAGGGACCTCCCTTGGATGCTTTTCTGGTCCTCTGGCTGCACTGAGCCCCCCCAGGGCAGCCTTGGTGACAATTCCCTCAACACGCGAGGCCGGGGCCTGGGCCATATCCATCCGAATCCAGGGGCACCAGGCACTGCCACCGTCACATAAAGCCCCAGGTCCTTATCTGCCTATTCAAGGACCCCCGCCCAGACCACGTCCAGTCCCTGCTCTCCCTCCTCATCTCTGTTCTTTCTTCCAGTGGCTTTGTGGGACTCCGCATCCCAGATCTGCCCCGCTCCTCCTCTTCTGGGGCTCCCCTGGGGCCTCCCCATCACCATCCAGAACCTGCTTCTGTGCCATTGTCCTTAAGAACACCCCCAGAGGCCGGGCGCGGTGGCTCAAGCCTGTAATCCCAGCACTTTGGGAGGCCGAGACGGGCGGATCACGAGGTCAGGAGATCGAGACCATCCTGGCTAACCCGGTGAAACCCCGTCTCTACTAAAAATACAAAAAATGAGCGGGGCGTGGTGGCGGGTGACTGTAGTCCCAGCTATTCGGGAGGCTGAGGCAGGAGAATGGCGTGAACCCGGGAGGCGGAGCTTGCAGTGAGCTGAGATGGTGCCACTGCACTCCAGCCTGGGCGACAGAGCGAGACTCCATCTCAAAAAAAAAAAAAAAAAAAAAAAAAAAAAAGCGCCCCAGACCTCCAGATCTTCCTCTGGCGAGGAGCGCTCCCCCACTCTGGCTTAAAAAAAAAAAAAAAAAAAAAGGCGCCCCCCAGACCTCCAGATCTTCCTCTGGCAGGAACGCTCCCCACTCTGGCTTCCCAAACATCTGCCTGTCCTCCTGCACTCGGCTGGGGGCACTGTGGCAATGGGGCTAACCTGCGTCCATGGTCACCTGTGAGATTTGCATTGAGCTCAGCCACACCAGGGAGCTGGGAGCTGAGCCATCTGCACGGGGACACCATGGAGGAGCCTGTGGGACTGTGGGACCACTCTGTCTCCAGGCTCCACACCTGCACGGTTGGGGGTCCAGCCTCGGGCCACATATTCAGCCCAGAGGATCCTCAAGTGTACCAGGCAGCCCCCGAGGACGCGACGGCGCACCCTACCCAGCCAGGCCAAGGCTGTCACAGGACACAGGACCCACCCCAGAGTCCCCTGTGGTCCCAGCACAGGCTTCGGGGTGGATGCCCCACATGGTGTGTGCAGCGCAAGGGCCGTTTGTGCGGAATCATGAACACTGAAACCCGAGTGCTGACCTCTCCTGTGCTCACCCCAAGTTCCAACCCTGAGGGAAAGGCCGGGCCCCCTCCCTGCACCCCTCCCTGGCTCAGAGGGACCCAGCACAGCCCTCAATCCCACAGCTCACTGTGGCCGATGTGGGACCTGGCCTCTGATATTCCCGACAGGAATCCCAGGGTGGCCTGAGCCCCAGAGTGTAGGGGGTCCGGGAGGAGGGCTGGCATTTGGGGAGGGTGGCAGAAGGGCCGCATCCACAGCAAGCTGCCCCAGGCTTGGGAGACCCGGTCCCTTAGTGTGCATGAGGCCAGCAGCTGGCCCAACAGGACGGGGCTGAGAGGGCGGCCGCCTCCAGTCTCACGGGACACAACACACACACGTGTGATGTTCACAGGCCATGCTTCTGCCAAGGGCCAGGCGCCCTGTGGGGTGCTGCCCTCAATCCTGTAACTCCATCTTTTGCCAGAAAAAGCGCTGAGTGAAAATGACATGGAGCGGCAATGGCTTTATTTGAGGCCAACTTCACTCTGCTCCAGTTTCTCTAATTTGTGAAAGGATTGATTTGCAAAATCCAAGGGTGAGTGATCACGGTTATGGATCAATTACAGCCTGACACACCCACACTCCAGGCTGAGGAAAAGCATGACGTGCAGCAGGGCTAAGGCTCGGTGGGGTCAGCCCGGGGTCCCTGTACACTAGGTGGAGGGGTCTGTCTGCTCAGCAAGGCTCTAGAACTTCCTAAATAGGGCAGTGCCCTGCGAAAGCAGCGCCCACAGAGAGACACGTCTGTCCTTACAGAGGAAATATGGGATTGTTTGGAAAACCCGGGGGGACCAGCAAGGTCTCAGGACGGTGAAGACCTGGGGCATGAGGAGCGGATGGGGGCTGAAAAAAGTCGGCACCTCAGTAAAGTGTTCTAAAGGGAGAAAACAGGGGCATGAGGAGCAGATGGGGGCCAAGGAAAGTCACTACCACTGTAAAATATTCTAAAGGGAGAAAACACAGCATCCATCAGGAACGTCTCTGCCCGCCATGGTGTTCTGTGAGCTGCTCCTGGGTCAAGCTCTTCCTGAAACCCTGGACTGCGACACCCACACCTCCCAGGCTTAGGTCAGGAAGGGCTGGGAGGGGCTGCCTACCTCGAGGGTCCTGCAGCCGAGACCTCCGACAGTGGAGCTCCAGCTCCTGTTGGCAGTGCCTGGCGCGGTCTACGCTGGCCAGCAGCTGCTCTGCACTGGCCGTGTATTGGAACACTGCCCGGTGCGGGTTCTCCAGGCTCGCACCCTTGACCCTGGTTAAGGCCGAGCCGTTGTGCTGCACCACTGTCCACGGAACATCTCCAGGGTGAGAGCAGGAGAGAGAGAGGAGAAGGAGTGTCACTAGCAGCACACACAGACCCTGGGTGCCCACTGGTCCTGAGACGTCGGAGTCCAAGAATCAAATTAATAGGATTCTAGAACATTAGGTCCTGGGAAGGGGTGGCCTCTTGTTACGATTTGTGTTACTCAGTATCCAAGGGGATCCAGCCACGAACATGCGTGCTTCTAGGTATTTAGCCAGATGGAATGTTATAGGCGAAAAAGAGAAGTAGAAGAAATGGTCATTAACATTTTGTAATGATCTAAAATTATGCAAACCACACCTTCTCTACTCCTAAAATGTGCTTTTCACTGCTGCACAAGAGCCCTGTGGGCACCCCTGGTACCTCTGCAGCCCTGATCCTCTGGGTGTTCCCTTCCTTCCTCACTAGGCACCACTCAGGAGGCCACTGGCCCAGAAGGATCGGCTCCATGGCTTAGGCCCGGAAGGGCAGGATGAGGCTGGTCCCTCCTGTGCCTTGGCCCTGGCCCAGCTTCCCTGGTGTTGAGAATGAAACCTGCCCTGCACGCCGAACGCTGTGCGGGAGGAGGCAGGTGGCCGCTCCAGCCCCACCCTGCGTGTGCAGTCCAGACGCCTGGCACCACCCGAGACTGGAGGTTATGCAGTATGTTCTCATCGGGACTTGTCAAATTAGAGCCCGTGACACCGCCATTGGACTTGGATTTGTGCCTGCCCCTCTGTTACCTTCTCCTTGCAGAAGCCCCTCCTGCGTGTCCTGGCGAGTGCAACCTGGACCAGGGGAGTGAGACGCAGCCACAGACCGCTGCCAGCTGCATTCCAGACCACTCTACCCTGAGGCTGGACCCCTAGCCCTGGACCCTCTACTGGTCCCAGTGTGACTGACAGGTGAGGCCTCAGAGCCCAGGAGAGCAGCGAGGGTGAGGCCAGCAGCCAGAAGGGTCCCTGGAGAACCACGGCCTGGAGTCTGCAGAGAAATACGCATGGGCCATGAAGGCTGTGACTTAAGGGGGCGCTGCCCACACGACCCAGCCAGCAAGTGGCTGGCCTGTTTTCCCCGCCTGGGACTCCCAGACGCACCTCCTTTCCCGTCCTCTCCTCTACCTGAAGCCCCAGTGTTTCATCTGGCAGAAAGGTGGGGTCCCAGTGACCCCAAGAGGAGCCGGGTGACATTTTGATCATGGGTTCCGCGCCTGTGGCTCGATGGCAGGAGTCGTCACGGGGCTCACTCTGTCCTCAGTGATAGGGTTCCCTCAAGGCAGGAAATCGCCCACCCGCTTTGGAGGCAAAAGTGTTCTTGGCCGAGTAGAGGCATGAGTTGCAAACAGGGCGGGGCTCTGCCTGCACGACCCTGGACACAGTGCTCCTTTAGGGGATGTGGCCACTGGAGAAGCCAAATTCCAGCACAGCCAGGGGTGCTTTGCGTTGCCAGCCTAAGTGTGGCTCCCAAAATTCATGTGCTGACATGTGAACATGTGGAAATCTGAGGTTCTAACCCCATGACCTCGAATGTGGCCTTATGAGGAGCAGGGTGGCTGCAGATTAGACAAGGCAAGGCCATAGTGGAGCAGGGCCAGCCTGATCCAACCCCACTGTCCTTGTGAAAGCGGAGATTTGAACACACACACACACACACACACGAAACAACACCGTGGAAAGACGCAGGCAGAGATGGGGGTCTGGGGGCCCCTAACAGCCATGAAACACCAAACACTGGGAGAAACCCTGGGAGCAAGGGAGAGACCTGAACAGAGGCCCCTCAGAGCCTCGGTGAACGGGGAGAGGCCTGAACAGAGGTCCCTCAGAGCCTCGGTGAACGGGGAGAGGCCTGAACAGAGGCCCCCTCAGGGCCTCGTGCCCCGACCCTCCGAAGCCTTGGTCCTAGATATCCAGCCCCCGGACTGCACGAGAATGTGCTCCGGTTTCTGCAGCTGACCAGTCCCACTGCTTTCTTCCAGATCCCAAGCCGGCTGCCATTCTAGAGTCGGACAAAATGGAGCTGGAGGGGCCTCTGGCGTCGCCCACCAAGTCTCCCCGTCCCAGTGCCAGCCTGACCAGGGGCCACCTGCCTGTTGCCGCCACCCCATCCTCAGGCTGCTCCGTACCCTGGCCTGGCTTGCTGTCTCTCCAGCGCACCTGCCCGACTTCCTGCAGACGCTGGGCTACAGGCAAAAGCTGTCAGACTTTATGGGGGGTACTGAGGGGAAGAAAGTGAAAAACTTCCTTAGGACTTTTTAACCTATTCGAGTCATCATAGGAAATCTACCCATAAATGAATATTTTAAGGGAAATTAAGTTCCTTACAGGCCATATTAGTCTGCTTGGGCAGCCCTAGCAAAGTACCAGACCAGGGGGCTTGGAACAGAAATCTCCCCCAGTTCTGTAGGCCACGGGTACAAACTCAGGGTGCCAGCCGGGCCGCGCTCCCTCTGCAGACGCTGGTGACGCCCCTTCCTTGCCTCTTCCGGTTTCTGGGGGTGCCAGAAACCCTTGGCTTTGTTTGAGTAGCGGCCACATCACTCTGGCTTCTGCTGGTCTTCACACAACCATGTTCCCTCTGGGCAGGTCCGGGTCTCCAAACTTCTCTTTCCTCCTAAGGACACTGGTCACTGCGTCTGGGGCCCACCCTAATTCTGTACAACCTCATCTGCACTGATTAAGTCTGCAAAGACCCTCTATCCAAATAAAGTCCCATGCAGATTCCAGGTTGGCATGAATCTGGGGGGCGTTGTTCAGCCTTGTGCGTGGGAGACACTGAGATCCGGGTGGACACCTGCACCTGCTTTACTTTTTGTTGTTTCTATGGTTCTGAACACTGACCCAAAGCTTGGCAGAGTGGAGAATTTGCAGAGGTAAACGTCCCCCTGCCAGGGGCGGCAGGCGGGTTGCCTGCTCTGTCGCAGGCAGTGAGGAAGATACTTCAGGGTGGAGGCGTCTGAGCTGGACCAAGGGACTCAGATAGGCATTGAGGGGAGGGGAGGCACAGTCGCCGGCTGGGACAGGGCACACGGACATGGACATCATTACAGAAACAGACCCCACAGTGCTCGGGATCCAGGGTCGGGCTCTACTCAGGCTCACAAGAGCTCAAATGTGAAGGCATCTCTGCTCAGGCTCAGCTAAAGTGCAAATACTCTTCCGACTGCACATCCACTCATCCAATCAGATAAGTCAGGAAACGTTTTGTTTTGAAATTTGATAGGCCAGGTTTTACTATTAAATATTTCACAAAAAAGAGCACTTGCACAGAAATAATATAATTATGGATTTTTGCTTTTGAACTATCTGTTCAAGTTTTATAACTATGACTTTTATTGAATAATGACTTACCTAATATACCTTCTAACCGGGTAAATTTCTACTAGGTGAGCTGCAAGTGTGAGTTCAAGCTGTCACGCTTAAATCAAACATTTTAACTCACCTGTCATGTTACAAAATGCCTGGAATGGCTTCAGGGGTCCGCTGCCATCTGGGTCGATGTTGTAGAATCCTGAGGCGTGGCCGAGGTGCTTGTAGGCCTCACAGGAGGGCTCGTAGAGAGCTGGGGGTCATCCAATCATTCGCCATACATGAAATAAAATGTAACAGAACTCTCAACATTTCAAATTAGGAGATGAAGGAGGTTCCAAGTCCTGCCTTATGGTAAATATCCACCCTCCAGGGGAAAATGTGAACATGTATTAAAATACAAAACTATTTTTAACATAATGTGTGCTAATATACTTAACTGTAAAGAAGAGGAGTGTTGCAACTATTTTTATAACACTTGTAAATCCCTAAAGTCAAATAAAATTACCCAGTCCAGTGGAAAGTTCTGTTCACTGTTACTTTAAGTGACAAGGAAACAGGTCGAGAGCTGGGCTCAGGCGCACTCACAGGTGGGAGCGGCGTCTTTACTGTCACAGGTGACGGGATTCCATTTGGCTGGGCCCCCTCCTGCCGCCTCATTTTTGAGAGCGGCCTCCCCGCCTCACCTCTGAGAGCCGACTCCCCGCCTTGCCTCTGAACCCGCCACTCTCTGAGAGCCGACTCCCGCCCGCTCTGAAAGCGCCTCCCGCTTGCTTCCTAGAGCCGCCTCCCGCCTCACCTGGGAGCCGGATCCCCGCCTCACTTCCTGGAGCACCTCCCGCCTCACCTCCGAGGCGCCTCCCCGCCTCACCTCTGTGAGCATCCTCCTGCCTTGCTTCCTAGATCCGTCCCGCCCCAACCCCACATCCGCCCCGCCTCACCCTCCCAGAGCAGCCTCCCGCTTCACTCTCTGAGAGTCGACTCATGCCACCTGGGAGCCCTCCCCGCCTCACCTCTGAGAGCCGACTTCCCGCCCTGCCTCTGAGCGCCTCCTCGCCTTGCTTCCTAGAGCCGCTCCCGCCTCACCTCCGAGAGCCGCATCTCCGCCTCACTTCCTGGAGGTCCTCCCCGCCCACCCCCGAGCACGGCTCCCGCCTTCACCTCTGTGAGCATCCTCCCGCCTTGCTTCCTGTGATCCAAGGTCCCCGCCCCAACTCTACATCCGCTCCCGCCTCACTCCCAGAGCAGCCTCCCGCCTCACTCCTGAGAGTCACCCCCACACACCTCCGGGAGCGCCTCCCTGCCTCACCTCTGAGAGCCGACCCGCCTGCCTCTGAAAGCGCCCTCCTCGCCTTGCTTCCTAGAGCCGCCTCCCCGCCTCACCTCCGAGAGCCGCCTCCCCGCCTCACCTCCGAGAGCCGCATCCCCGCCTCACTTCCTGGAGTGTCCTCCCCGCCTCACCTCCGAGCACGGCCTCCCCGCCTCACCTCTGTGAGCATCCTCCTCGCCTTGCTTCCTAGATCCGCGTCCCCGCCTCAACTCCCACATCCACCTCCCCGCCTCACCTCCCAGAGCAGCCTCCCCGCCTCACCTCTGAGAGTTGACTCCCTGCGTCACCTCCGGGAGCGTCCTCCCTGACTCACCTCCCAGAGCAGCCTCCCCGCCTTGCCTCTGAGAGCGTCCTCCTGGCCTTGCTTCCTAGAGCCGCCTCCCCGCCTCAACTCCGAGACCCACCTCCCCGCCTCACCTCCCGGAGCCACCTCCCCGCCAGCCACTGGGGATTGGCTTCCCCTTCACCTCTCTTTGCTCTCCTTGGAAGAGCCACAGTGAAGTCGGCTCAGTGTGAGCTCGCTTGTGGGTCACAGTTAAGAACCACTCTCTTATCTTCTGGTGGTTTTCTCAGAGTGCTTGGAATCACAGTTGCTGATAACCATTAAGAAAAGTGGATGCCCCAAAGCATATTGATGGGGGCACCTGCTCTGTGGGTGATGCTACTGGGCATGACAGAGGATGACTGCGAAGAGAGGATGGTCCTTGTGCCAGCGCCTCCGCCCCGGCCAGGCAGCGAGGCTTGGGTTCCCAGGTCTGACCTCCAGCATCAAGTGAGGGGAGCTGGTCCCAGGGGCTCCCCGTGCAGGGCCCTCTGGTAGGTGTGCAGGGTGAGGGCAGGTGCAACGGGCCCCCACCATCGCCTCCCCTCCCTCCCCTGCGCTGAAGCTGCTGTGTGGACCCGCAGAGGGAAGTTGCTTATGGAGGTGACGGGTGTGGACCCCGGGAGAGAAGCCGCTTACAGCGATGGCACGTGGCGCCCGTGTACCCGGTGCTGCCGCAGTCACAGTGGAAGGCCGTCCAGGTCTGGGAGCAGGTGCCCTCGTGCTCGCAGTAGTTGGGTAAACACCTGAAAGAAGGACAGAGATGGTCGTGTTCACACTTGGTCACTGTGAAATGTGGGTCCTGTGGCAGGGCGAGTCCAGCTGTGGGCACAGAGTTCAAATGGCCGGGGATGTGGAGGGATGTCCTTAAGAACTTTTCTCCCAACCCTAAACCCCAAGCCAATAAATCTGTCAGGCTCAACCGACTGCCCTGTGTTTGGCTTTGAGGCAGCGGGACTTGCAATTCTTCCCTTGATGTTGGAGAACTTTGTTTTTTATGTCACAATAACACAACATTGACCTTACATGTGGCCAGGAATGACAATTTCTTATGGAAAATAACAGTGGTATTTTATCATATTGAAATGTTCTGTGACATTAATTCCTAGAAGGAAGACTGGAAGGGGAGGGGAGAGACTGAGAGGAGAGGAGGGAAGGGAGGGAGGACAGGGGCCGAAGGGACAGTCAGGTACACTTCCGTCTACACATGGCGCTGGCCCGGGACCCACGGATCCTTCATTGTAGGCCTGGATGCCATTGTTATGATTCTTTTTCCATTTAGAATTTAGAATAAAAGCCAGCTACCACCAGAGTTTTATGTGCATTTTGTTTTCCCAAGAAAATTGAATAAATCTGGAAATGGAAAACCCAACGGCCATCTAAGCATGATGTGTATTTTGCCATAGGCCTCATTAACGTTAAGATTGGGACACTTAAAATTTCACTTACAGGACTTTTGTAATTTTAGTAGATTATGGTAAAACTAATTTTCTTGAATATAAAAAAGTAAATGTTTTATTATTTTTATTATTCAAATAACCCAGAAAAGTACAAAAAAGAAGGTAAAAGTCATTTGAAATCCTAGTATATAAAATAACCACTATAGTTATACATGTGTTGATGCTTATATTTAAGTATATACAATATAAATGTACATGGCAATTTTGCAACCTATCAATGATTCATTAGTAAGCATGAGTATTTCCGTGTCGACAAATTTATATTAGCAATTTTGATAGTTCAAAGAAATCTATTAACATAGTTATCATCATGGATTTAAAACATTACATATTTGAATTTAATAGAAACCAAGGGTGATAAAGAGAATTGATGAACAATTAAAATCAATAGCAAAGACACTAACACTAGTGATTGATCGGATACACAAATGACGAACTGTGTGTTTTTCTAGATGTAAAAGAGATTTGAGCCTGTGAGGAGCTAAGTTCCTTGTGTCGAAACTGAAGCCTGAGTCTCTGTCTGCCAGCAAATGTGCTGTTTCCTCACTCATCTGTGTTTCCCAATCCACTGGCTCAATCCCTTGTTCGTATTTTAGGGTTGGAATGAGACTGCACTGTTGTAAAATAAAAGGAGGAGGCTGGGCGTGGTGGCTCAAGCCTGTAATCCCAGCACTTTGGGAGGCCGAGACAGGTGGATCACGAGGTCAGGAGATCGATACCATCCTGGCTAACACGGTGACACCCCGTCTCTACTAAAAATACAAAAAACTAGCCGGGCGAGGTGGCGGCGCCTGTAGTCCCAGCTACTCAGGAGGCTGAGGCAGGAGAATGGCGGGAACCCGGGAGGCGGAGCTTGTAGTGAGCCGAGATCCGGCCACTGCACTCCAGCCCGGGCTACAGAGCAAGACTCCGTCTCAAAAATAATAATAATAATAAATAAATAAATAAAAGGAGGAAGAGTTAGCTCAAGACCGTCCCCCTGGTGCGCCTGGACCTGGATAAATCGCTGCCCTGTGGCCTCCACCCCACCCAACGCCCTCCAGGTCTCCACCCCAAGTCCTTCCAACCCCTAAAGCACTTCCTGAGACGTCCCCATCATGATTTTCATCTTGTGTGAACTTCTCCAGATAAACAAGCCACCCCTCAGAAGGCGAGGTTGTGTGACGCGCACCAATTCCCTCCCGTCTCTTTGTCTTCATTTCCATTACAAGAACTGGAGTGGGGATTCCCGGAAGCCAGTGGGTGTCCTCTGCCTGCTCACGCCTCCCCTCCGGAGTCCAGGGATGGGGAAGGGGCAGCAGCATCTTCCCAGCCCCCAGCCTGGCAGCACTTTCTTTCCTCCCACCTGAGCCCCTGGGCCCGCGGCTGGGAAGGAGGTTCCAGACTGCACCCATTGTTTCTGGAAACGGGAAGGAAGGACGCGCAGCCGGTGCTGGTGGGCGTGAGTGTGCATATGTGATGCGTCAGCGCCTGTCACACTGCGTGTTCTGCCTGTGTTTGTGTGTGTGTGTGTGGAGACTCCTCCCTCAGTGTGCAAGATCTGGACTATAGTGATTGATGAGTTTATTATGACTTAAAACATGGATTCTGCACACACAGAGCGGGGCCTTCCCTTTCTGAATTAGTGAGGTGCCGGTGCCGTTTCACAGGACGTGGTGTTCCCATCAAGTCCTGTCCTGGCAGGAACAGTTGTGGGGGGTTTTTCCCCAGTTCTGAGGGGCAACGAGGGGCCGGACCAATGCATCGTCACTGGGCAGAGGCACCTGGGGCCTGCAACTCTCCTAACACAGAGAAATGAATACTTACGGGGACTTTAATCTGGAGAAGAAAGTGTTCAGAAATCAAGGTTTTCAAATACTTGAACTGCGAATGTGTGCCAGAGGGCGCAGAGGCGGTCAGCTCAGCCAGACGTAGACAGAGGTAAATGGTGCTCAGCTCAGCCAGACGTAGACAGAGGTAAACAGGTAGACACACAGAATGGAGTCACCAGCGATGGGCAAGGCGAGGTGACAGGGACAGGGTTTACCTGCCACTCGACACAAGCACACACAGGGGACATTGCACATGCGTGGTCACTTGTTTTCCAGACACTGGTCATCAGGCAGGGGGGCCGTCATTCCTACGAGATGGGCACCTGGCAGGCGTGCCCTCTGCTCATCCCAGGCCCCTCTGGAGTCTTCAGACTGTGAGGAAGGAAGGCAGTGGGGTCCTCGGGAAGCCTGGAGACCCCGAGTTAAGGAAGGCAGGAAGGGCAGCTCTGACAGCCAGGGAGAGCTCCACAGATCTAGAAGGGCCCCGAGAATATTCAGTGCTGGTCACCGAGTGCAGAGGGGAATCTGCCTGGGGCCAGGGAAAGGACCCCCAGGATCAGTAGGAGCAGCAGCCTGGCTGGCACCAGGCAGGGCACCGGCTTTCACAGGAAGGAGGGCAGCCCGGCCACACAGAGCGTGGACTCAGAGCATCCGGCCTCAGCCCTGGAGAAGAGCGACCCTGAGACCAAGTGCTGCTCAGACTCACAGATCTCACAATCGAAACAGAAGAGACGTGGCTGTGTCCGGTAACAAAGCTTAAGAACACTGACAAGATGCTTGTCATGTCAAACAGCACCAAGTAAGGCGAACCCCAGAGCGTGGCCCTGCACCGAGCGTGCACAGGCGGGCAAAGGAAAATGAATCAACCAAACCAGCCCCAAATGTAGATGCTGCTCTCATAGACAGGGAATTTGTTCTCGTATGTTCGGAAATTAAGTGGAGACATGGAAGTTATTAAAAAGCACCAACTAGAGATGATATTACAAGTCTAACATGAAAACAACACTGAGTGGCTTTAAGATTAGACATTGCCATAAAGATGAGTGAACACAGAAAAATAAAAAGAAATCATCTGAAGGAGACAGGAAAGATAATTTTAAAAGCAAAAACAAAGCATTTGTGGGCTGTAGGACAACTCCAGGTGGTCAGTTCTACATGTCATTAAGTTCCTAAAGACGGGAAAGAGGGAAGAAGAAAAAAATAGAATAAATAATGACAGAAAATTCCCCAAATTTGAAAAAATTAGAAACACACAGATCCAAGAATCCTAATGTCCCACAAGCACAACATATAAATAAAGCTACCCTAAGGTACCTCATAATCAGATGGCTTAAAATCAGTAAGAAAGCCAGAGATCTTACATGTGTCTATAGAAAATGGCACATTTTGTCCAGCGGAACTCAGGCAAGGCTAACGGAAGATTACCTGTGGGCGGCTGCCATTAAAATGAGGAGGGAAACCCTCTTAGGACTTTATGCCTGGTGAGAATATATTTCAAAACCAAAGGTGTGGGAAAGATGTCACCAGGCACAAAAATGCTGAATGAATTCATTCTCAACAGCCCCGAAAAGTGAATGTTGGAAGAAGTTCTGGAGAGGGATGGAAACGGACGCCAGACGGTCACATTCATCTACACAACGCACCCGGGGGCAGCGGGGGCACTGACGTGTGTGCGAGTGTGTGTTGTTATGTAAAATGTTTTATAAAAGACTTGACTGTTTAAGCAAAAGCAAAAACGTGTGAGGATTGACAATGTAAGCGAAATAAAACATAGCAATGATGCACGCAGGCCAGGGAGGAGTGAGAACACAGGTCTGTGGTTCTACAGCTGCGCTGGAAGTGCCATAATCTCCTTAAATTATCTGCAGATTCAACAAAATCCTAAGCAGACTCTCAGAAGAATCTTCTAAAGGAATTTACAAGCTACTTCTAAACTTCATATAAAAGCGGAAAGGCCTAAAGTAACCAAAGTGATTTTGAAAAAACAAAGAGTAAAACAACCTGATTTCAAATATTATTGTTCAGAAATTATAATTTCTAAAATGTGGTATTAGCATAAAGTTGGAAAAATAAAGGAGCTCAATGCAGAGCCCAGCTATGGACCCAGATGTGTTTATGGACAAATGGATTTCATGAAGGTGCACAGGCGGTGAAATGGGGAGAGGACAGGCTTTTCATCCAGTGGCGCTGGATATTTGCATGCAAAGCAGAACAAAATGAAACAAACCAAACTCTGCATAGCTTGCTCCATCTATAAAATAATCCAAAATTAATCACAGACCTAAATGAAATCTAAACCACAAATCTCTAGAATTAGACATACAGAAAATCTTTGTGACCTCACGTTAGTCAAAGATGTCTTAAGAATAATCCATAAAAGAATAAAAAAAACTTGGACTTCATCAAAATTAAGAACTTGTGCTCTTCAAGAGATACTTTGTTAAGAGAATAAAAGAACAAAAGGAAGACTGGAAGAAAACATTTGCAAAGCATGTAAAGAGCTTCTATCCAGAATATCACAACGGACTCTCAACACTCACTAAGAAAACAAGGGATCCAACTCAAACAAATGTGCGCAAGGTTTGAGTAGACATTTCTCTAGAGCAGGTGCTCAGATGGCAGGTGAGCCCATGAGAAGGCCATTCACGCCATTCGTCACCAGGTACACACAGGTGGAAACGAGGGTGACAGACCGCCGCACACCTGCTGAGTGGCTGAAATTGAAGATGGACCGGACCACGTGCTGGCAAGCATGCAGGAAAACTGGAATTCTCACACACTGCTGGTGGGAACGTGAGAGTCGCAGTCACTTTAGAAAAGCGTAGCAGCTTCTCAAAAAACATTCAGCAGCCTCTCCATAGTTTTCAGCTATTTCCTTACCGATGTTTACCCAAGGTCAATGGAGCCATTTCTACAGAAAGGCTTGTCCTGGAATGCTCACAGCTGCTTTGTGTGCAATAAGGCCGAAGCGGGCAGATCACCTGAGGCCGGGAGTTCGAGACCAGCCTGACCACCATGGAGAAACCCCAACTCTACTAAAAATACAAAATTATCCAGGTGTGGTGGCATGTGCCCATAATCCCAGCTACTTGGGAGGCTGAGGTAGGAAAATTGCTTGAACCTGGGAGGTGGAGGTTGTGGTGAGCTGAGATCACGCCCTTGCACCCCAGCCTGGGCAACAAGAGCAAAACTCTAACTTGAAGAAGAAAAAAAAAAAGGAAGAAAAATTGGAAACAATCAAAATGTTCATCAATGTGGAAACGGAGAGGCAGACGGTGTCCTCACGCACAACGGCAGGGCTGTGTGGCTAATGTGTGGGCTTCCTTCATTATCTCCCAGAGCACACAAGGATAAGACATGCTTTTAAATGTTAAAGACAAAACCTATCGAGATAGAACCCGGTCCAGGGTTACTACCATACATAACTGTATCTGTCGTGCAAAACGCTACTTCTGCTTTGTATCACTTCCTTAAATCTCAACCTGAAGTTGGATTTTAAAAACTAAATTCACATCCATGATCTTTGTCTAAGTTCATAAATATTCGAGTATTTTATATGTGGTACTATAATGACAAATTTGTCCATGCGATGTTTAAAATCTACTTTACTTAAATGAGTTTCACATCAAACTGGATTAAACAGATTCCGTATGAAGAACTGTCATCGTGTTCGGATATTTTCACACACAGAGGTGGGTGCGTGAATTGCCAAGTTACTAAAAGAGCTTCCCATGAGCTGAATGTCGGTGGGCACAGTGAAGCCCCAGCACTGCCTGCGGGTCACGACACAGGGAGTCCCCCTGGCCCTGCCAGGCCTGTTCACTGCCAGGCCCTCCCACCGCCAGGGAGCAAGATGGGGAAGCCTCGTCCTCAGCAGGTCTGTGCCCCGGAACGGCGGGGCCGTGACTGACATGTGAGGCCACAGTTTTTACACCCAAACACCACTAAATCAAAACCTCGAAGTTCAGGTTTACTGGCTAAAGTCTTCTTACACAAATTTTTATCAGAGAATTTTCCACTTAAAATCAGTGTAATGTGTACATATGGGGAACTGGCTCTGAGTTTAAAAAGTGGCGGGAAGTCATTTAAGTGGTGGGAATTGTGTTTTCTTTATTGTTGAAGATGATTTGTAAATGGTAATACATTTGGTGAAACACAGCACTGGGTTCCTATGATTTTTTAAACTAGGACTAGGAGATTCGATACACCTGAAGAGAGATTTAAAAGTATTTGAAAGCTTTTTCTGACTGAATTCCTTGCCCAGGTGAAAAAGGAGGGTTTTTGAACTGCAATGTTTATTCAAAAACATATTACCACTTACAACAGGAAGGGCATGGGCCCAGCTGTCCTGTCTGCCCACGTGATTCCGGTTCAGAGCCTGATCGTTTCTGCCACACTTCAGCTTTCCCAACACTTCCCCGGGTTTTGCCCTCCAGAGGCTCCTCTTCAAGGACCCACGGATGCCTGCGGCGCCTTCCACAGTATCCAAGAGCCGTGCCTTCCACCCAGCACTGTCACCTGAAACAAGCTACTGTGTGCAATTGTTGACACTGTCTTCCTGACTTTTCACGGGAAACAGCCCTCTCGCTTCCTGTGATGCAGGCTGGGGAGAAAAATCGTTTCCCTTGTGGACGTCCATTCTGAACCCTTCCAGTGGGGGAGAGAAACCGTTTCCCCTGTGGACGGCCACTCCGAGCCCTTCCAGGTGGGAGAGAAACTGTTTCCCCTGTGGACGGCCACTCTGAGCCCTTCCAGGTGGGGTAGAGACCATTTCCCCTGTGGACGTCCACTCCGAGCCCTTCCAGGTGGGGGAGAGACCGTTTCCCCTGTGGATGTCCACTCCGAACCCTTCCAGGTGGGGGAGAGACCGTTTCCCCTGTGGACGGCCACTCTGAGCCCCTGCAGGTGGGCTGCCCTCACACTCTGAGCCCTTCGCTGCCCTCACCTGTCCAGGATGCCGCAGGTGTCAATCAGAAGGTCGCTGAAGTTCCCCACAGCGCCCTGCTGCACCGAGATCAGATCCACCTCCTGGCCGTCGATGGAGATGAGCCGCAGACACCCCTGGAATCCGCCCAGTGGTCCCAGCGATCGGCTGCAGTCAGAGCCAGAGCCGTGAGCGGGGCACCCTGAGTTTCAGAGGCACAGGAGGCAAGAGGAAGAGGGTAATGGGTGGACACAGTGTCGGGGTGTGGGCGGCCGCGTACACTCCCCCTGACACCAGGCTGCTTTCCATCTGCGGGCGGGGCTGCCTGCTCATCGGGAAGAGGGAGGATGAAAGGTCAGCAGAGCATAAAATAACCCTGGAGGCAAGAATGTAAGAAGATGAGAAACCCTGTGAATTTAAAATTCACCCTGAACCCAATGCTCTTTCTTAAAGTATACTAGAAGTTTAACTCCTTTTACCATGACAGATCTTAAGGGAAAAACCTAAATGCACATGGATTTACAATTAGAAACGAAATAACAGGTCTTATCATTGTACATACAAACAGCTAAAATGTTAGAGTCTGGAGAATATCGGGCCAGAAGGTGACTGGGCACCCGCACTGAGGCGGGTGTGCCAGCCACACACCACAGCAGCCTCGCCCGTCAGCTCAGGTGTCCCAAAGACTTGCTTCAGCAGAAAAAGAAAAACTTACACGTGTTTTTATAACAACCATTTTTGTTTTGGGTGAGTTGGTCAAACATATAATCAAAAATTAAATTTCAACATGACATCTTAATACCGTCAAAAAGTAACAGTCATGCAATAGCAGATACATCATCCAAATGTGTGGTGAAAGAAGGAAGCGTGCATTTGATTCTCCGAGTTAGGCCAGCATCGTTTTCCAACCACAGCCCTGGACCCCAGGAAGCAGCTCCCGAACCTCACCTCTGCCTGGCCGCCTGGGACCCGTGTCCAGCTTCCTGAGGTCTGTCCTACCCCCTCCCTCCCTGCCCCCAACCCTGCCAAGGGGAAGGAGCCGCTGCCAGAGGGGAGCCTGCAGCCACAGGCCAGGAAGAGGGGCTCAGCAAGGCGGCCGCTGGGGTCCCTGCGTGAGGAGCACACGACACCCCAAGTGGGTCAGGGGGTTTCCTAATCAACACCAAATGCAGAGAGGCCCGGTCCCATGCATCTCAGCACTCATGTGGTTTCATGCCTGTGACGGTTACTACTGAGTGTCCCCTTGGTTGGACTGAAGGATGTGAAGTACTGATGGGTGCGTCTGTGAGGGTGCTGCTGAAGGAGACCCACGTTCGAGTCAGTGGCTGGGGAAGGCAGATCCACCCTTAGGCTTGTGGGTACCACTTAATCAGCTGCCAGCAACTATAAAGCAGGCAGGAAAACATGAAAGAGATACGGCCTAACCTCCCTGCCCACATCTTTCTCCCGTGCTGGACTCTTCCTGTTCTCGAGCATCGGACTTCAGGTTCTTCAGCCTTGGCACTAGGACGGGCTCTCCTTGCTCCGCAGCCTGCAGACGGCCTACTGTGGGACCTTGTGATCGTGTGAGTTCATGCTTCATAAACCCCCTTTCGATAGTTCTGTTCCGTTCCTCTAGAGAACCCTGATCCAATGCCAAACATTCTTGAGAGAATCTTGTTTTCAGACCTTGGCTCTTCTACCTCACAAAATAATGACTCATTAACCTCTAGCACCAGAGCATGATTTTCCCCCTAATTACAGATAAAAAGTACTCGATAATTGTTTTAAATTTAGAAAAGCTTCCACTTATTTAAACATGAGAAAGTACTATACCATATTCCTAGGTAAAACGTAGGTTTATGATCATTAGATGCTCTCTGCTTAACTGAAATAGTCATTTTGGTAAGCATGGAGTTCACCCACCAAATGTAAGGGTTTTTTTTTTTAAGAACTCCCTTGTGGCCCTCTGTTAATTGTCAGTTGTAAATGTCTAAGAACTGAGGATAAGGGAGTAAGAATCACACTGCATCTTAATTCTTGCCCCAGTCATACTGGTTTTCCATGAAAATTACACGCTAAGTTTTCCTCTATGTTTCAATAACAGTCGTAACTATTCAACACTTTCTCTCCCAATAATTTACATTCGTATGACAGATGAGCTCATGCATGCCTCGCCTCTCTCCAGTCATTGTAAAGCACATTACTCTGCTTTATATCAGCCTCATGGAAATTTGAGATTTGAAATTTAAAATGAGGTCACAGGAACCTGGGTAGACTCTGAGGCCTTCCCTTGGTCATTTTCTCACTTTAGGGGTGAAACCCGAAGTTCAAGTGGTTCGGCGTCCACCGAAGCTTGGGCATAATAGATTTGGCTTCTCTCTGTGGACAGAGTCTATTTTACTTTTTCATGATGGGTTGAGCTCCCTTATCAAAAATGCCTGGGGCCCAAAATGCTTCAGATTTGGGATATTTTCAGATTTTGGAATATTTGCATTAAACTTACCAGATGAGCACCTCAAACCTGAAAATCCAAGATGCAAAATTCCCCCATGCTGGCCGGGTGCGGTGGCTCCGCCTGTAATCCCAGCACTTTGGGAGGCCAAGGTGGGTGGATCGCTTGAGGCCAAGAGTTCGAAACCAGCCTGACCAACGTGGCGTAACCTGTCACTACTAAAAATACAAAAATCAGCCAGGCATGGTGGCGGGTCCCTGTAATCCCAGCTATTCAGACACTGAGGCAGGAGAATCACTTGAACCTGGAAGGTGGAGGTTGCAGTGAGCTGAGATTGTGCCACTGCCCTCCAGCCTGGGTGACAGAGTGAGGCTCTGTCTAAAAAAAAAATGCTCCCATGAGCATTTCTTTCGAGCATGATGTTGGCACTCAAAACGCTTTGAGTTTTGCAGCATTTTGAATTTTGGGGTTTTGGATGTGGGGTGCTCCATCTGCCTTTAACCGACCAGGGCTGGAAGGACAGTCACACCGTACAAACCTGGAGTAACCTTCAGATTCCAGAACAGTAATGGCGCTGAGCTTCTCCCTTTTTCTTAAAACATATTCTCTCACTCTTTCCGAACAAACTCAGTTCTGAAACTTTGAACAAAAGTGGCGATGGCGGTCACAGGGAATGGCCGTGTGGCTTCATGGAGAAATGCGTGTGCAGCTGGCTGACGGCTCCACCAAGAGGGAGCAAGGAGAGCCAAGAAGGGGTCGGGTCCACCCGCCCTCCGCAGACACGAGAGCCCCCAGCACCGAGATGTGCGGCAGAGGCGTCCGGCCTGGAGCCCACTGCGGAAACACCGAGATGTGACGATTCCTGGGGAAAGCCTAATCCTGGCTCCTCAGGGAGGCCGCAGGTTCTGCAGCTCCGAGGGGGTGAGCCGACCTGTGACCTGGTGTCTGCACCAGGAATTCTGACCCGGGACACTCAGAGAGCTCAGAGGGCAGCCCACAGACCAGGTGCCACCTGCCCAACACCAGCACAGCGTGAAGCCGATGGCTCTGGCACCCACCAGGGTCTACGGGGATTTGCCATCTGCATCCTCTGCTCAGGGTCTGATGGAATAAACATGGAAGGTTGCCCCAGAATGCAGTGGAGCTGCCTGAAGCTCAATTCACGAGGAAAGGAAGGGAAGGTGACCAGTAAGCCAGTGACGGCCCCATGTGCGCGTGACAGGGTGGCACTGCTGTGTTCCTACCTGGACCGCCTGCGGCCTAAGGAGCCCGACTGAGTAGCTGGAGGCCAGCGCGGACCGCCGACGTGTGGCAGTCACACTCAGGGCCGGCCACACATGCCTCCCGCCACAGCGTTACTGACCGCCGTCCTGACTCGAGGGCAGTGCTGGAGCTCTCGGTCAGGGCTGTGCCGCAGGAGAGGCAAGGGGAAGGACCCCAGGAGGGTCTCCGAATGTGGCGTACGTGGTATGAAAAGACTCGGGCGGCAAACCCTGAAAACACAACCTGGCAAACGAGATCCTGGTGGTGAGGGGCTCTCAGCTGTTAAATGTAAATTACACTCAGTAGAGCTGCTTGGGAAAAAAGTGAAGTTCTTTATATTTGCTGAACTGCTGGAGAATTAGCCACACATGATACAGCAACAGTAACAAAAACAATCCCAGCCACCACACGCAAGGCGGGGAAGAGGAACACGAGGAGCCTGCGCATTCTCAGCCCCTTCACTCACCTCCAAAGTGGTAGGCATCGCCCGGGTGGACCCCCACAGGTACCGTGCTGTGGACGGTGGAGGCCACGTCATCATCCACCATCACGCTCAGGTGGCCCCACGTGGACGTCACTGAGACAGAATGCCATTGCCCATCATTTAATCCAACACCTGTGGAAACCAAACCAGGTAAGACACAGCCATAAACCACAAACCTTGTAATTAGCTAGTTTGCTTATTTAATTAATTAATTAATTTAGAAACAGAGTCTCATGATCTCAGCTCACTGCATCCTCCACCTCCTGGGTTCAAGCGATTTCACCTGCCTCAGCCTCCCAAGTAGCTGGGATTATAGGCGCCCACCACCATGCCTTACTAATTTTTGTATTTTTAGTAGATATGGTGTTTCACCATGTTGACCAGACTGGTCTCAAAATCCTGACCTCAAGTGATTTGCCTGCTTCAGCCTCCCAAAGTGCTGGGACCACAGGCATGAGCCACCATGCCCAGTGTAAGTACTTTTAAAAAGTGACACAAATCAGTGATTACAACAAGCACAGAAACCCGAACAAGGAGAGTGGAGGGAGCTCAGCCCATTCTCTTCCCCCGAAGGGCACATTCTGCCTCGTCCCTAATGTGTGACATGCCCCTCACCTGGCCCAGGACACCTTCCTGCTCCCACTCATGCAATTTGACTTTTGGGGAGGCACACAGAAATATCAAACTCTCCTCAACTTCAGCATACATTTTAAAAAACCTTATGTGATTTTTCTCCTATTTCACAAACTTCAGGTAAGGACCCCGAATCTCCGTAGTAGCTACTGTGGTAGCTGAACCACCATGCGGCTGCGCTCTGTAAGGCAGAAGGTCAGTCCATGTGGCTCGTCTCTCCTCACACGTCTGAAACGGCCACAAATCCCTCGCCTGGACAGAAAGGGACTGATGCCTCCAGACCACTCATGTCAGCGCACAGCTCCGCTGGGAGGCCGTTAATACTGAACCTCAGCCAGGAGCACGGCTATCAGGGATGCGTGGGGTCCCTGGAAGGTGGGGCTGCACCAGGGGTCAGGGAGGTGGAGGAGGCTGAGGAGGCTTGGGGCTGGGGGTCCTCAGTGCCTGACCTGGGGGACCTGGCTCTGGCGTTGCTGGTTCTGGGCAAGATAGGCTTTCTCGTGTTTTCCACCCTCCCTGTCCTATGCTGACATGGCAGGGGCTGCAGCGAAGGTGCACGGCTGGGTGGGCTGGGTCGGCGGAGGAGGGCACAGCTCCACGGAAAGCCGGGACTCCTTAGGGTCACCAGATTCCCAGCCTGTCAGACGAGGCCAGACATCTGGGTTTCATTGCTGAATATCTTGATTTTAAAATGTTGGCTGTTGTTTTAAAATATTATTAAAAAAGAGAAAAAGCTCTGTCCAACAAACACATAGCTGAGGGCAGCCGCTGCCCAGGACTGGCAGTGTTGGGAGCCCTGAAGGCAGAGGCAGAGCCAACCAGAAAAGGCATCCGTTAGGCATTTACTCATTCAGTACAATCTCAGTCGTGAATCGCTCTTCAATTACGGGTTATTCCTTAGGATCCCATCGCCTTTCAAATGACTTTCAGTTTGATATTCACACGGGGAGTAAAGATTGAAAAGCAATTATGGGCTATTCCTCAGGGTACCATTGCCTTTCAAATGACTTTCAGTTTGATATTCACACGGGGAGTAAAGATTGAAAAGCATTTTATGGCATGCATAATTATATGTGACCCCTAATTGGTTGAAATAATATTTTTAAACAGTTTAGCATAAAAATTTTGCAAAGTTGGAAATTATGTTGAAAACTTTACCTTCTAATTCAAAACTTTGTGCAAAATTAGAACTCAATCCAGCTCCATGCTCAACACAATTTAACTATGATTCCATGTAACAATCTTAATGCATATCAGATTACCAGTTTAAATCTCTAATAACTAAGAAAAAAAACCTTATTTAATAGAAAATTGAATTTATTATAATAATTCATAAGTATGTTATTCTAGTTAAAAAGTCGCTCTATATAGTTCTTATAGCTGTGCTTAAAATAACACCTGAATTATCAAATGCTGATTGTGTGAGCCATAGGTTAAAAAATTTTGCCGGGCACAGTGGCTCAAGCCTGTAATCCCAGCACATTGGGAAGCCAAGGCAGGCAGATCATGAGATCAGGAGATCGAGACCATCCTGCTGGTCAACAGGGTGAAACCCTGCATCTACTAAAAATAAAAAATTAGCTGGGCATGGTGGCAGGTGCCTGTAGTCCCAGATACTTGGGAAACTGAGGCAGGAGAATTGCTTGAACCCAGGAGGTGGAAGTTGCAGTGAGCCAAGTTCACGCCATTGCACTCCAGCCTGGGTGACACAGTGAGACTCTGTCTCAAAAAAAGAAAAAAAAAATGTGTATATTGTGAGAAAACTGTCAAATCATCTATGGTTTAATCAGATATGCTTCAAATATAACATTTGCTTGCTTTGCTAAATCTAGCAATAAACAAGAACTTTTTTAAAAAAGAAAACTAAAAGGTGGAAATTGGTAGGAAAAATTCTGGTTAAATTGTCCAAACTTTGATTTATCAGATGAATGGGTTCTGAAAATGCATGCACAGCATGGGAATGACAGTGAATCATGACCGTCCCTTGTTGGGTCTGGCTGGGGACTGCCCTTTGTCCCTCCTCACGTGAGCCTCTCCATGGAGGGCTCACAACACAGCAGCCAGCTTCACCCAACAGAGCGAGAGCAACTCCCCAGTCAGAAGCTCTGGCTCCGCATCTTAACCTCCTAAGTGACAGCTATCACTCTGCCACCTTCTATCTATCAGACAAGCCACCAAATCCAACTCACCCTCTGCACAGAGCCGACTGGTGGCAGCAACCCCAGGGGATGGGGTCCCTAGGGCCACCTGGGTGCCCACCAGAGACTCATAATAAACTCCTTCTGCAGGAGAGTAACGTTATTATAAATATTGAAAAATCTATTATAATCTTATTCCCAGCAGTTTTTCAAATATTTACACCAATAGACTAGTTAAAAATGAGACTGGCTTCGTGGTGCTTATTAAAGTAGCATCGCACTGATGCAGGTTCTTTCAGACGTTTAAAATTAAGCCATGCTTGAAATCTCTGCCAAGGACATCAGATCCATCACCATGAGCCATGTGATCATGACACACTTACTATAAATTAACATTTTTCTGATGATAATCTCGAAAGTTTGCTCACTGCTAAGATAGTGAATCTGATTTCTTTCTTTCTCACAAACCTAACTCATGTCAATTTATCTCATTATTAACATTAAGCAGGTGATCAAAGGACGGTGCTTAAAAATATCAAAGGGACTAGTAATTTTGGAGCCTCCACTTATTTTTCTGTGATGCAGGGAGTAGAAACAGAAGTAAGTTTTAGAGCTATCTATAGAAGCGTGCATGCCTGCTTTTCTCCCCATTTCGCTTCCAAATCTCTTTCTTGCTCAGTTTCTGGCGATGTCCTATTTTGTTGCTTTGGACACAGACGATGAGACAAGAGAGAGTGGACCCAGCGTTCCTTAAACATTCATGTCTGATGATTCCATGGAAGGCCTGGGCGTTATTCTAAACCAGCAAATGTGTGACCCTGATCCCTCATCAAAGATTGCAGCGGCAACATGCAGAAGCAGTGCAGCCCTGCTAAAAGCTGTGCCCCAGCGTGGACTACGCGGGCCACAGCCTGTCAGCGATGGCACACCTGACCGTGCCAAGGGTACCGTGGAACTCAACCTCAGGGGCAGCACCCAGCAGCCAGCGCTCCCTCCATCCTGTGGAAAGGTGTTTATCGAGAGGATGTACGTGAAGGAAAACGTGTTACTGTGTACAGATCAGCTCCCTGACACCTGCCTCGCCTCCCCAGTGTAGACACTCCATCCCAAGTGTAGACCCTCCAGGCCCCAGCACCTGCGGGAGGAGGCAGAGCTGGCCTGGGCACTCCCTCCGGGAAGGGCATGGGGAAAGGTCCCTCTCTTGGCCCCGGCCTTCACGCATCCCCTCTCCTTCATCTCAGTCATGGCAGCTCTCTGCGTAATGGAGGCATCTCTTCCCGCAAATGTGCAGACACCAGGGAGACCGCAGCCCTGGGCGCAGCTCTCAGATGCGACGCCGCCTGCAAACCCAAACGGGTTGGGCTCCAGGATCCCACTTCCCGGGAGCCGGCACCCTTTCTCCGGAACCCTGGTGCTTCCCGTGGTGTAGACAGCGGGCGCCTGTGTTCCGGGGAAGCGGGGCTCCCGGGGATCCCTAAAATCTGCGCTCCCTGCAGAGCTGGGCCCGGACCCCGAGTTACCTGTGCGGCCGCCGCTCTGCGCCTGTCCCGGGGATGCGCGCGGACCCACGTGGAGCCTCCCGTCCTGGAGCGCGAGGAAGAAGCCCCCGGAGCCCAGGCGGGTCCCCCAGGACAGCAGCAGCCCGGCGCGGTTCCACGTGCGAAACTGGAAGCTGACGGAGGCCCCGTCCGCCCCGGGGGAGCCGGGCAGCGCCAAGTGGCTCTGCGCGCTCAGAAACGTGGCGGGCACGGTCTGGGGGTGCGCACAGGCAAAGGCGACGGTTCCCTGGGAGGGGGAGATGGAGGGGGGCGCTGAGGATCCTCCCGGTCAGGCGATCCCTCCCGGCCCCACCAGGCTTAGCCTGTTCCCATCTGGATGCCCCGCGTCCCCTACTCCACGGTGCCCACGGACCCCACATTTGCACCCAGCAGACCCCAGGACCCAGCCGAGCCCACAGCCCCGCTCCCAGCCTCTGCTGCCCTGGGTCCGGCCCACCCTCTTCCCGGAGACGCAGACGTGGTAAAAACGTGTTTTCCACTGGGCGTGGGGAGCTCGCGTCCTGCGTGCCGGGGTGAGCGGCCCAGGGTCCCAGGGCGGAGCCACAGACGGACCCGGATTTCGGGGCAGGCCTCAGTGGCCGACTCCTGCCCCGGGGCTCAGCCCACGGTGAAAAAAAGATAAATTTCAGGAGTGGACCCCATTAACGAGCCCGGAAGACTGGGGTTTTAACCAGGATACCAGGTTAAGGGATCCGGGTAAGGACAGCACTGAGGCTGCAAATGTGCCCTGAGGCTGGTCCTGGGTCCAGCCGGCCTCCCTGGGTGCAAATGCACCCACCCGTTCCCTGTCAGTCAACGAAACCGTTGCACTGGCGTGTTAGCGACATGAAAGCACAGCATGTTAGTTTCATGCTCATGTTCAAACTTCCATGGCAGAAGCGTTATTCCAAATGTCTCGAAAACACCAAGATATTTAACCCCAGGGAACCAGGGGCTCCGGTATGTGCCATGGTCCTGAAGCAAAGCTGCTTGCAGGGAATTATGCGCCAAAAGACTGGCCTCTGGGGAGGGATGATGCCTCCACGGAAGGAAATCATGCACTGAGGCTTAATTTTATATTTTAATCAAAAACAGGTCTCTTCGTCTCATGCCGGAAACAGCATGAGTTGTGCTCACGCTGGTCTGCTTGTGCTCGCGGCTGCTCGGAGGAGGCTGTTAAAGTCACGAGCCTCACCTTAGACAAGGACACGGTTGGGAGTTGGAGGCACCGACTTCCTCGGGGGACTCTTACCATGACGAGGATCTGTGGTCCCTGCTGCTTGGCCAAACCAATGACATCCTCTCCATTAAAATTAATGTTTTCTAGGCATCCACGAAAGTTTTTCCTTGGAAACACCATTGGCTTTCCTGGCGCTAAAATCCCTCCAAAGCTGATCTTAGAAAGAAACATAACATCAGTAATATTCTTTAGTGATTTTCTGACAATTTGCTTAAAACATTTATGATTCATAAATGGGGCAGGCTTGGTCTAGATGGGTTAATTTTGTGTACTTCTATAAAATTATTCTGTTAATTTTGAATGACTCTAAGACATAGATTCTAAAACATCTTACATGAGCTGATGTCAACTGGCGCCAGAGCCTCTGCGGCTGTCATTTGGGGAAAAGGTAATTTAGCATCAAATGGAGCCCTTGGGAGGGGATGGGGCTGTTTGTACCGGAGCTGGACAGCAGGTGGAGGGTGGCCGGGACTCAGGGCCCTGAGGACACCAGCCCACCCTGCCAAAGGGAAACATTGCCAAACTCTTCCGGTTCTCTTAGAAAGTGGTTTCCCAGTTACAGGGCTCACGATAGTGGTGAGGCTCACGCCCATGCTGCAAATGCTCCTGCGAGGGGACGGGGACGGCATCTGCAGCCCTGAACATCATGAAGGGCCCATCCACTGTGCTGCTCCTCCGGGGCCTAGATGGAGTTTGAGCTGCCAGGTCTGTGCAAAGGATGAGGAAGCCGCACCTCAGGGTCCAGGTCCGCATGGCACAGCTCCGCTGGTGCCCCGATGGGTCTCGAGTGCCTGTCCACCGTGAGGTTCAGGCCCTGGCCAGAGCACTCCAGCCGCACTGTGTGCCAGTGCCCATCATCCAGCAGGCTGCCCAGCGCCAGGCCACCCTGGCCAGGTGGTGAGGGTTGCGTGGCGTTGCCTGGGCAGAAGGAAGGAGATGCTGTCAGGTCCCGTCCAGAAGGGGAGGTCAGCACCCTGGCCCTGGGAGTGGCTGCATCTGACCTGGGCATGAGGTCCTCCCACCCTGGCAACCCCATCCTTGACCCTCTCTTTTCACCACCTTTCACGAGTCTGTCACAGACTCCTTTTCCTGGAAAACCGTTGTCTGTGTTGTGGACTCTCCTTACTGCCGTGGCCGCCTTGTCCTCTGTAGCATGGGACAGTGGTGGTCAGTCAGGGATCATTGTCCCCAGGGCACATCGGGCCATTCTGGAGACATTTCTGATGGTCATGGCTTTGGGGCGCTCCTGGCGTTGGGAGCAGAGGGGGCAGAGAGCAGGACACTGTCCACCCCCCGCCAGTGCACAGGAGGGCCCTGCCCAGAGCATCATCTGGCCCGAAACGTCTGCTGTGCTGGGGCTGGGAAACTGTGGGATGGAGCTACAGAGTGGCATTGAAGGACGTGAGAGCCCAGTGATCCCCTCCCGTACAGCGGCCCCACCTGCGCCATTTCCATGAGCCGACAGAGGCCCTTGCATCCGTAATGACTGCTTAAAGATTACATGCAAAAATATTTCGACATAAATTATGTCTAAGTAATCAGATTATTGAAGTCCTTGACTGATAATTTTACCTGAATTTATGAATAAAATGAGTTTTCCTTTCACTAACTCCAGGGTGATGCAATTTCCATTCCGTCCGTCCCTGTGGAATAGAATCCCCTCACTCTGCAGAGTTTTAAATTTCAAAGAAATGACGTCTGTTCCTGGACTCCTGGTATTTTGAATAAATCGGTAAAGCAGGGAACTTTCTCCGTCAAAATCAATCACTTCTGATCCTGCAGAAGAGATAAAAGTTGTGCTAAGTGTTAGCATGCTGCCATTAACACTCTTAAACACACAGAGTCTGTAGGCACACGCAGGCGCACACACACAGGCACACGCAGGCACACACACACAGGCACACAGGCAGGCACACACACACAAAACCATGCACATACAGGCACACACACATGCACATGTATATATAAAATCACACACAGGCAGGCACACACACAGGCACATGTACAAACTAAAATTAAACGTAACAAAACTATGCACACACACAGACACGTAGACATGTGCACAGAAAACCACTCATATGCACAGGCACACAGACATGCACATGTATACACAAAACCACACACACAGGCACACAGACACACATACAGGCACACAGACATGCACATGTATACACAAAACCACGCACACAGGCACACACAGAGACACACAGGCACACACATCACACACAGGCACACACAGAGACACACAGGCACACACATCACACACAGGCACACACATCACACACAAGCACACACAGAGACACACAGGCACACACATCACACACAAGCACACACAGAGACACACAGGCACACACATCACACACAAGCGCACAGACACAGAAACAAGCATGTACGCACAGGCACACACATCACACACAAACGCACAGACACAGAAACAAGCATGTACGCACAGGCACACACAGAGACACACAGACACACACAGAGACGCACAGGCACACACAGAGACACACAGGCACACACAGAGACGCACAGGCACACACAGAGACGCACAGGCACACACATCACACACATGCACACAAATGCACATACACAAATGCACAGACACATCACAAACATAAACACATGCACACACACAAGCACACATACACAGGGATGCGTGCACACACACACACACACACACACACAAATGTTGGGAGAGAAGCTGAGGCAGGGCTTCCATGTCTGCTAGACACGCTGGCTCCTTGCTTCCAGCACTCCCATGATCTCTCCTTCACTTGATACACTGTTTCCTTTTAACCCCCACATCCTCACTAGCTGTTCTTTGAGCACCAACAAATAGCGTGGGCTCCCAGAGCTCGGGTGCAGCCTCCGCACTGGCCATGGCCCCCGGTACCACTTTCTGGAACTGTCTTTTTCTTATTCCTTTGACTCCACCGGACTTCATCGCCCTCGGGACCCGGCGTTGGGTCTGATCACCACGAAGCACAAACACACACGCACACACGGGAGAGCTTGTAAGTTACATGTGGATTTTTCAGGAAGGGGTTTTCTAAAACCTGAAAGCCTCTCAGGGGGTCCTCAGGGTACCGTGATTGGGAACTCATCTCAGGCCTCTGGTTGGAAGGTCCCCACTGCCCACGGTGGGGTGACAGCAAATCGCCCACCTCCCTCCTGTGTGAAGCCCACGCCTGTCACCAGCTGTACCTAGAGCCGTGCCCACACCTCAGTCACCGGCTTCCTCTTTGTAAAGCTGGTGCTCCCCACTGTTGAGTGGCTGCGATAACACCAGCAGCAGCCTGGCCCCCACCTGTGGCTGCTACAGAAATGCACCTTTCCCAGGCTCCAGGGAAGGCGGCTGCGGCTGTGTCTCCCAGCTCCTGTGTGCCCTGGATGTGGAAGTCCTTCCACGGGTGGGTGCACACAGATCCACACGGTTCACACCACGGAGGACCCTGTTAACTGCCAGCATTTTCCTTTTCAGGGTGGGTTCCTCTCCCTCCCACACTGTTTTATGTCCTCTCGAGGTTTCCCTAATGGAAACCGACAGCAGTGGACCCCGGGCCCACAGCAGGCAGCAGGCAGGTCCGCCGTGGCTCCGGGTCTGTTTTTCTCGTCCTTACGAAGTGCACCTTCTCATTTTAAACAGCTTTGCTGCAGTGTTGATTGTAGACTCATGATCAGAGCTGGAGAACCCGTGCTCCCTCCGCGGCAGGTGGCGTTTCACCAGATGCGCCTCACGCCTGAAAGCTGCTGTTGCTGGGTCCACCCGAGCCTGCCCGCCCTTCCTGGTTTGGCGTCTGACCTGGAGCAGGTCTCGGGGGCTGCCTCAGGCCCGGGCAAGCCCTCTCCTGGGCCACACCTCTGCTCTCTCCACCTCCCCGAGGAGGCACTCACCTGCACATCCACTTGTCCATCAGGAGATTCACAAGCGCCTGCCGCATGGCCCTGGGTGGTTTCAGTTACCATGGGGATTGATCAGGTTGCCACGGGGACACAGCCAGTTGCCAGGGGAGCATGTAGAATGACACCTGGCCTGGAGGGGCTTGCGGGGGACCCGCGTGCTAATGGAGGAGTCAGTGGGTAACGGAGGGTGCGGTGAGGGAAGACAGCAGAGAGGCACCTGCCGAAGCACCCCTGTGTAAGGAGTTCGAAGGTGGGACGTGTCCCCGCTAAACTGGTGACTGGTGGGCGAAGGGTCAGCGCTGGGCACAGGGAGCCTCAGGACGGGTGACGCTCCATTCTGTGGTCGGGGGATGCTTGTGATGTTGTGAAAACTTAGGCAGCTGCACATATTTACGCTGTGCGCACATTTCCGCATGTACCTCAGAAAACTTATTCCCAGAGAGTAATGACTGAAGGTTGGGTTGGGGACTGTGCAGGCATCGGTGGGCGGCTTGGGCGGGGGGCCTGACGCTACTGCAGACGACTCAGGGAACCTGGGCCCCAAGGAGCTAAAGAGACGATGAGGAACAGAAATCCCGGAGTTTTCAGGATGTCAGATAAGAGAAGAAACAGCTTGCTGAAAGGCGGAAGCGCCCTTCTCTCGTAAGAAAACAAAACTGGCTGAGATGGGTTGGAACCCAGTGGTCAGCTGAGTCCAAACGGAGAGAACTTGCCGACATCACAGCCTGAATTTCCAACGCAGGTTTCGTGGTTTCCCCCCAAGTCTGCACGTGTGACCCACCAGGTAGCGTGAAGAGATCACGGCACCTGCCCCGGGACAGTCCAGACTCCGCTTCCTTCCACCCATCACCCGCCCATCAGAGTCCACCCCCTGAGGTTCCTCTAGTGAAAATGCTGCCTGGAAGCCACGTGTGTGGGAGCCTGTGTGTACTGGGGCCTGTGTTAAGGATGTGTGTGGAGATTACTGCACAGAGCAGCCCGGGCCTGAAGGGGCTTCCTTTACCTGGTGGAGCTTATCCTGGCAGAACCATCTGCACCCAGCGGGCAACACACCTCCCTGCTGGCCCAAGCTCCTGCTGGGTCCCCTGACGCCCTGGGCAGCCTCCACCTGCAGCCGGGTCTTTGGCCTGCACATCCAGTTCAGGGAGAATTCTGCTGGGTCAGTGTCCAGAGAACCCTGGGCCCTGAGATCCGACCCACTGGGCTGCCTCAGTGGGTCTCCTGTGAGGTGGGCTTAGCCAGAATCCCCCACCCTGAGGTCTCTGCTTCGCCATTTTCCGTCCCGACCTTGATTCCTGACCTTGACCTTGCCCGTGTGTGGGCTGCACCCCCTGCTGCTTCCTCTGCTACACCCGGTGGGAGCCCAGAGCCCGTCTCTTCTCCATTGTAACACCTGCAGAGCGTCTCTTCGCCTTCCCAGCAGGAGTCCTTCCCCGTTGCTGTCGCAGGACGTCTCTTCACCTTCAGCAAGGATCTTCCCCGTTGTAATTGTCCTGCAGGACGTCTCTTTTTGCCTTCCCAGCAAGGTCTTCCCTGTTGTAATCGCCTACACGGAACGTCTGCGCTCGCCTTCTACAGCAAAGGTCTTCCCTGTAAGTAATCGCCCACACAGGACGTCTCTTTGCCTTCCCAGCAAGGTCTTTAATAAGTAATCGCCCTGCGGAACGTCTCTTTGCCTTCCAGCAAGGTCTTCCCTGTCGTAATCACCCTGCGGAACGTCTGCTCACCCTTCCAGCAAGGTCTTCCCCCGTTGTAATTGTCCTGCCAGGACGTCTCTTCGCCTTCCCAGCAGGAGTCTTCCCGTAATCGCCCTGCGGAGACGTCTGCTCACCTTCCCAGCAAAGGTCTTCCCGTTATGTAATGCGCCCTGCCCAGACGTCTCTTAGCCTTCCCCAGCGGGTGCTGGGACACAGGCTTGCAGCACACCAGGAATCCAAAGCGTGTGCAGGAAGCCTGGGGTGTGATGCGGAAGGGGCATGGGAGGCTCCCACAGAGCCCTCAGGAGAAAGCTTCTTCAACACCAGGAATCCAAAGCGTGTACGAGGAAGCCTGGGGTGTGATGCGGAAGGGGCATGGGAGACCCACAGAGCCCTCAGGAGAAACCGCAGAGGTGAGACCCAGGGGATGTCCCCCTGCCCGCTGGGCCTCCAGGCCCCGAGATGCCGCTGGGTTTATCCCAGTGCTAAGGATGGGTCTGGAAACAGCAGCGTGCGCAGGACCGAGGCTGGGGGAGCTGGACAGGACCCAGGCTGGGGGAGCTGTTTCCTCCACATCTTGCCGGGCGAGGATGAGCATGGAAACCTGGGGGGCGGGGAGCAGCACGAGGCGTTCTCCCCAGCTCAGGACAGCATACGGAGGACGGGGCCTGCAGTGGAGTTGGAGGGTGAAGTGGGAAGAGCTGGTCTCCTCTCCAGCTGTGGCAAGGCCTGGCATTTCCACCTCCCGGAGCCGTCCCGGGGCCACTTGCAGAGTCCTGCTGGGGCACTGTCTTCCGAACTCCTTTTTGCCAACCCCCGTGTTGCCGGCAGCGCAGTTGATGAATTTAGGGGTTTTCTGATCCTAGGCCCTGAGGGTGCCGTCTGCTCATGCAGCCAGGGAGTCACGGGCTGAGAGCGAGCGGCCCAAGGCCCCTCCTCCCCAACGGGCGCTCTGCCCGGGAACAAGGAGCATGAAGGTGCTGATAGGGCAGGGAAGCCACAGCCATGTGTTCCCAGATCCAAGAGACCCTGCATGTGGGGGTCTCAGCTGGAGGGAGCGCCTGGTGGACTCAGAGGTGTCCAGGGGTGTGTGGAGGTGGTCAGAGGAGGAAAAAATGGCTCAATGTCCCTGAGTCAGCGGCCAGGCCAGGAAGGACGTCTGAGCCCGCTGAGGGGGGCCGGGCAACATCAGCACTGCCGGCCCTTCTCGGGGCGTCTGTCCTGACAGTCCCAGTGAGGCTCAGCTCCGGGAACCCCCACGTCAGATTCTCCTGGGACAGGACAGTCTGTTCTGTTGCTTTTCACAGCTGCAAGCACCCCTTGGGCCCTGAGAAGCAGCTTCTCGTCCCTCCACTGAGCCACTGGGTCCCCCCTGCCGTTTCTCACTCTGGTTTGCACAGTCCCAGCTCTGCTCCTTCCTTGTGAAGAAAACACTGTGCACTCATCTTCCACATCAACCCAGAACATTCTCTTCCCATCACCAGCTCCCGACAGACGTGGATGTGGTGAGTGAGTGATAGCACAGCCGCCACCAGTCGCAGGCAGGCCACCCCCGGACCTCAGCACCCAACCAGATAGGCCACCCCTGGACCTCAGCACCGATAGCCACCCTGACCTCACACCCGGCCGCCACCTCAGACGTCAGTGCACTCCGGGCCAGAGAGGCCACCCTGACCTCAGCACCCAGCCAGGCCACCCCAGACCTCAGGACCTGGTCAGAGAGGACACCAGCCTCTGGCACCCAGCCAGCCACTCCCTGATCTCTGCACCACCAAGAGAGGCACCCCAGGGCCTCAGCACCAGCCAGGCCACTCCCAGACCTCAGCACCCAGCCAGGCCACTCCCAGACCTCAGCACCCAGCCAGGCTTTCACTCCCAGACCTCAGCACCCAGCCAGTTACTCAGACTTTCAGCACCAAGGCAGACAGGCCATGAGAAGGAAAGGACTGATGCAGAGAGAGACAAAGAGAAAGAGAGAGAGCAGAGAGACAAGAATAAAGTAGAAAGAGAGAGAAGAGAGAAAGAGAAAGACAGAGTATGAGACAGAGAGAGAGAGAAACAGAGAGACGGAGAGAGCGCAGGCAGGCTGGCCAGGAGCAGACTCGAGCAGGGGCCGGTCCTGTGCCCCGTGCCCCGGGGCCAAGCACTCACTGTGGGCACATCCGTAGGCCTCCACGCGCATCCCAATCCTGCTGTCTGGGTTCCAGGCCACGGGCAGGAAGCGCAGGTGCCGGGCCTCCAGGGGCGGCCGCAGCCTGTGCTGTACCACGCTGTCCGCATTCGAGTTTCCCAGAAAGCCCTGCAAGAGAGGGGGCTCAGTGGCCGGGGTCTGCCCCTCCAAGGAGAATAGGCTGCAGGCAGGACCCTCCCTCCCCGGGGTCTCTGCCCCTCTCCTCTCTTCAATCTCCCGTCCCCAGCTCACCCACTCCCCAGGCAAAGCAGCTCTCAGATCACTCGGACTGAGACGGTGCTGCAGCCACAGGCCTCCGGGTTCCTACGTTGAAATTTAACCCCCAGACAATGGTTTTGGAGGTGGAGCCTTTCAGAGGTGTTGGGGTCTCAGGGCAGAGCCCATGATGGGATGGGTGTCCTTGTGGACGAGCCCAGGGAGAGGTAACCACCAGGGGTCTCAGGGCGGAGCCCATGATGGGATGGGTGTCTTTGTGGAAGAGACCAGGGGAGAGGTAACCACCAGGAAGTGGCCTGGACGTCCACCCTGACACCAGGTTTGCCATGCCCTGACCCCGGGCTGCTGGCCTCCGCACTGAAAAGCGAGTCTCAGTCCTTGATGAGCTGCCGCACCTGTGCTGTTTTGTTGCAGCGGCTTGAACAAGGGACCAGGGCAAACCCCATCAGGAGGCAGGAGATGGGAACTCCCTCCAGCTGTCCTGGGGCTGTGGCAGTGACAGGGGATGGCCTCCAGCCCTGACCCACAGGGTCTCACAGGTCTAGGCCCCAGCGGGTGCCAGGCTAGGCCTCAGCTCAGCAAAGCCTCTGCCTCTGCCCCCGTTTCCCTCCTGGTCACGCTGTTCTGAGGCCTGCGAGCCGGCCAGGCGAGTTCACTTTCTGAGCGGGAGATGCTGTCTGGCTGCCCCACTCCCCACAGAGAGGCTCCGGTCCCAAGGCCTTCCCTGGTACGAGGCCACTCTAAATGTTCTCAGCACCATCCCAGCGCCCTGACCAGGGCGTTTCTGTGAGGCTTGTCTTTGGAAAACAACGCGTGAGCTTCATGCCTAATCTCCAGGTCACAGAGTTTCACTGTAAAACACACGCTGAGGACGCGCAGGACGAGAACCGCAACAGTGAGACCCCCGGAGTCCCAGTCAGAGGAGCGTGCGCCGGGGCGGGGCGGGGTGTGGGGACCACAGTGGTTCCAGCCTCTCCCTCCCGTTCCTGCAGCCTTGGCTTAGGGCACAGAGGGTGGGGTAGGCGGGAAGGCCACGCACTGACTCGGGAGGCAGCCTGGGCATCGGGTTTCCCAGAACAAGACAGACTCCTCAAGGATCCCCTTTTACAAGTCTCTATCAAGGCTGAAAATACTTAGCACAAAGCGTTATGATATCAGGATGTGAGGACATCCCCGGACACCAATATCAAACGCCATTCACGAAGTCAGAGTCAAGGGCACCTTGGGAGGGGTTATCTGCAGCGCCGTGAGTGAGGAGGACGCGTGTAAATTCGGGTTACTATTAAAACACAGAGGCAGCGCCGTGAGTGAGGAGGACGCGTGGACGCAGCTGAAAGTTCTCTGAGCCTGTGAGTCGGCGAGCGGTGAGAAGGGTCTGACAAACGGTAAAATGCTCAGCTTCACAACTTCACAATAACAACAGAAAACAAATATAAAGAGCAAGAAGACCCCATGTTTCCTGATCAATCTGAGACAGCTCAACAGGCTCCTAAGCCTGGGTGAGGGGTGGGGCGGACACCCTGGGAGGGGGGTGAGGGCTGTCCCTGCGGAATCTACTGGCCCCGGCAGCCGGGAGGCCGGGATGCTCAGGAAGCCGAATGAGCTCCCACAGCCTCCAGTCCTCGTGGCATACTTTGGATCACATGTGAAATGGAATTTTTTCTGAAATATTTGTAAATTGAGGTCTGTGTGCGTGTGTGTGCAAGGGTGTTTGCGTGTGTGTCTGTGTCTACGAGTGTGTGCTTGTGTGTACGTGTGTGTGCATGTGTTTGCGTGTGTGTGCATGTGTGTTTGCATGGGTGTCGGGGGTGCATGTGTGTACGTGTGTGCGTTTGTGTGTGTGTTTGCGTGTGTGTGTATGTGTGTGCATGGGACCTCTCCATCATGTAGGCGTTTCTGTCTTCCATGGACAGGGGTTCTAAACTCCAACATGGATCAGAATCGCTCTGTGGGGATTTCTACGTGGAGACTCTGGACTCATCACTGCAGGACGGTGGAGGTGGCAGCCGCGGGCTGGGAAGGCCCAGCTTGGGGATGGTCGTCCAGCCAGAGCCCTCACTCCGGCCCCTGCAGGCTAAGGTGGGTTGGTGTAAAGCTGCAACCGACTTTCAGCTTTAAAAATAACCGTATCATTACAGTGTAAATAATTCACTTAAATTTAAAAAAACAGTTCAGTGAAAAAAGTAAAGATTTAAATTTTGCTGATGTCCATCAAAAGCAGGAAAACACTTCTGTGAGAACTCTCCATCGGCGTCCCTGGGTTTTCTGTTTTGAGGGTATTTTTTCCCATGAGGATCACACTGATGAAAGAGGCGCGTTTCACTGGGGTCACTCTGACAGGCACCTTTCACCAGGGTCACAGGCGCCTTTCACCAGGGTCACTCTGACAGGCGCCTTTCACCGGGGTCACTCTGAGAGGCGCCTTTCACTGGGGTCACTCTGAGAGGCGCCTTTCGACTCTTAGTTTAATTGTTACTTAATAACACGAAGCAAAATACAGTCATGTAACTTCCACGCAAAAAGCTCCATTTAGCATTAAAATTCCAAGCAACGGCGGCATTCTCAGCGTCATGCCAATCATCCTGACAGCTGTCAGTGCTGGAGTCCGGCCTCGGAGGTGCACGAGGGACCCGGGTTTACACCTGAATCACTGCCTGGTCTGGGAGAGCATCCGCGCCTCCAGTTCCGTGAGCACAGAGCATCCTGGAGTGCTCCAATCCCTGTTTCGAAAGTCAATTGAGTATTGAATAGTTTTCCCAGGTGGAAATTTAAATTTGCATTTTAGAAAGAGAATCAAAACTGACAAAACGTTCCAAGTGTCCTGATATTGTTCTTACCCTGCAAATAATACGTTTAAGTGCCTTGGATGAAGGATTCCATCAGCCCCTCTGGACCTTTTAAATCCAGCCAGAAGCCCTCACTTTGGGCCTGTAAGCTCTGTTCTTGGTATTCAGTCAACGGCACCACACGGTGACATGATCCTGATGTGCTCTCCCATGCTGGGGGTGGAGAGAGGCCCCAGAGCCTGAGTTAAGCTTCCTTCTACCTGGAGCCTGAGCAAAAACTCCACATCCAAGCCTCCATCACGTGTCAAAGGAAGTCACAACTTAAGCCCAACAGCAGCCCTGCTTAAGCCTCCAACATTAGAGACCCCGAGTTCCACGCGCTGCAGAACAGGAAGGCAGCAGTGAAATGAGCCCTTTATTGGATGTGCCCCACCTTCCGATTCTGTACATTTTGATCACATAATCACAGTTCACTGCACTGAGGTCAAGGAAGGAGGATCTTCTATTCTGTAATAATTGGATCAATGAGCATGACTTCCTGTCTATCGTCTTCTACTCCAGTGAGAAAGTGCCCTGAGTTAGCAGGTCACTGCCCTGCCTAACGGAGTAACCCTGGGGACTGGTGTCTGAGCCTAGGAGTCCTCATCAAACAGGACCATGGACAGAGAGCAAGAGCTCACCGTGGGAGCACGGTACATGCCAAGAGGTGTCACCACTATCGTGCAGCCCCCAAGGCGAGGACTGTCCGGCCACACCTGTGAACGGAGACTTAAGACTGACCTCGCAGGATGATTTGCTAATGAGCCTTTTGGTCCCAAGCACCTGTGAGATTCCTCACTGCCAGCCTCGGTTTTGTGTCTGTAAACAGGCCTGGAGATGCCTCCGTCTCGCGGCCACCAGGGCGGTGCCCACTGTGAGGCCTCAGGTGAGCGGCCACTCCAAGGCTGCTGTGTGGCTACTGTCACCGTTCCTGCCGCTGAACTCACTGAGCCAGACTCGGGGTTCATATCCAATACGTCCCTTTCAAGAGAGAAGATATAAATAGCAGCTCCTATAATCAAAAACGTATCATTCAATGCTTATGATATCAAATGCAAATTTTATTTAAAACTACTAGCAATTTTGAACCCTAATGACAAGAGATATTAAGGAAATCAGCCTAGGCTATTGACCTCCCATTCAGAAAGCAGGGCTCTATTTGGTGGGATTAGAGGCCAAAAGGGAAAAAGGGCTCTCGAGCTGCCCATTCCATCGTTAGTTCAATGGAAGCAAAATATGCTAATTAGTATTTTTATTTGCTTGTTTGAGAAAAGATTTTGTATTTCATTTCCCTAAAAGGAAAACTTAAGGTTTCTAAATTTGGGGGGAAAAAATTTAAACCTTTGTGTTGACTACACCAAACAATGCACAGATGGTGTAGCTTTCACCTGTGAGCCCAGAGTCGCTGGTCTTTGGCTCTGTCACACCCTCTCTTTGTACACAGGTGTGCACATCCATGCATTCACACACACACACACGTGTGTGTATGCACATGGCACAGATGCACACACATTCATACCACCTATGCACGCACAGACATGCACACATGTGGCTGGTAGTTGTGGGGCCATTTGAATAAAGCTGTAGACTTCACCATCCTTCATCCTAAACTCACTGCACATCTCCTAAAAACAGACCTTCTCCAAAGTGACTAGAATATCATTGTTGACACCAAGCCAATAATATATAGGATATAGCCCATATTTAAATTTCTCCCCAAATACAGGACAGAGCCCATCTTGTGTTTTTGGCTCATGGTTTTGATGTTTTGAAGTGTCTAAGTCGGGGGACCCATAGCCCCTGGCATGTTCTGGGTTTGTCTGAGGGTCCCTCATGGCCAGGGTTGGCCACACGTTTTTGGCAAGAACACGACATGAATGGGCTTATGGGTCTTTTATCGTGGCTCATGAGGCACAGACTCAGACACACCACTTCTGTTGACATTAATTCTGATCATGTGGGGAAGGAAGTGACTTTTCTCTTTGCAAGTAACTAATAAGGGCGGTCTGATTCTCAGAGAGCCTGCGAACATCTTGCTCAGGAAGCAGCGCATGCAACGGTCTCAGC